AAGGAAGAGAGGCTGCTGCTTCCCTGCCTTCTGCCTGTCACACCAAGAACCGCTTCCCCTCTGCTAGGCTTCTCTGCCGTGCTGCTCTACCTTGGATCCTGCCAACTACGAACTGAAACTTCCATAAACTGAGCAGAGAAAAACCTTTCCTCTTTTAACTTTGGGTATCGGGTGTTTTGTCTCAGCAATGAGAAAAGTAAGACACACACGCTCTGATTGCATGCATAGAAGATCTGAATGTCTTTGATTCCATCAGGCTAGCAGAATCTAAAGGTACTAAAAGCAGTGGCTGGATCAGAATCATCAAATGGCTTCCAAGACTTGATGCTGTCCTGTGTTAAATCAGTGGAGTTGTTTCTTACTTTGACTAAGAGGACCAAAGGGATACCCAGGTTGGATACGTGCTGTCTCTATTACCAAAAGTTACCTACTAGCAGCTACTGGACCCCCTTTTTATTAGGTGCAATCAGGGCTGACTGATCTTGAAAATATCCTGGGTATTTCTGTGGCTTTCAGCCCAGATGACATTGCATTTAGCCTGCAGTGGTCCACTGTTGGTCTCCGTGCCCAGGACCAGACAAACTGTTACATTTTCACAGGGTTGTTGGCAGTATTTTCATCTGCATTAAGTCTTGCATTAACACGATCATGTCCTGCTCCCTGCTCAGCATGCAGAGCCACTTTTGTTAAATAGCCCATTAGTATTTAGGTAGCTTAGGTGCGGCAAGAGTGGCTATGCCACTATTGTGGCTCAGATTCTCAGCTGTAAGGGGCATAGGCCTCAGATGGGGATAAGAATCTGGGACACAATCAGCCGAACTATCATGTACTCAGTGGCCAAAGGGACCCACACTAAGCAGATAAGTAGATATGTACCAGGGGTCACCGTGTTGTCCTCAAGCCTCTTATTGCCATCAGTTTAATTTTTCCCATGAGGGGAAGTTCCTGTGTCCAAGAACTTTTTACTTTTCCCTTTGATCTTGATAAGAGTAAGAGAGCCATTAGCCTCCCATGGGAGTCCAGAAACTTCAGTTTCATCTTTATCCTGTTGAGCCTGAGACATTTGGGTCTTCAGCGTCCCTTTATCAAACAGACACACCGCTAGACTTCAGGAAATTTCCCTAGCATTTTTTTTTTTTTTTTTTTTTTTTTTTTTTTTTTTAAGTCTGTCCTCCTGTCTTCTTTTTGGTCTCCTCTCCGATGTCGAAAGGACCATTAGTAGTGAACTTCTTTTTTCTTCCCTCTCAAGACAGCTCAGAGTTCATCTGAATCCTTACCTCCCAAGCCTTCCACGTGAGCAATCACACAAACGCCTGTCAAACAGGGAATCATGCACCAAGCTCTGTTTCCACATTTTTTTCTGTCTCAATCCATGCAGCCAGTTCATTCACATCAGTGTACATACATATGTGTCTGTGTCCCATTTACCATCCTTTTTTGCCTTTATTTTCCAACTGCGTGTCCAGCTCCTGCACCCTCAAGCTGGCATCTGCACCTGGGACACTTATATGAAGGGCTATTGTTTCTCCCACTTAACCAATAAGCCATGGCTCCATCGGACTGTTTCCTGTTTGCTGCATTAACAGCTTGTTGGAGTCTAATGAGACACAACCCACTCATACACAAGTTAATTACATCAAGAAGATATGTTACGTACAATAAGGCAGCAAACGATAACCAAAGTGAGGATTCACTGTTAGCCAGTCCTCCAGGGCTCAGGAAGTCTGCCCAGTCTCCTCTGTGAATTCCTCACTTGCACTGCAGCCAGAGGGCCTCAGAAAGTAACCTCTCTTGGGTTTTAGACTCTGGGGACATGTGATTCACTGACATAGATATCCTATTTATAGTAGGGAGTGGAAAAGTTCCCAGACTGTTCCATCCAGCCTCCCTCCCCCCTCTTAATCTTAGGGTGTTGCATCCTAGTACAGTCAATAGTTACTTTTTGTAGCTGCAGAATGGGGTGGACCAGGTCAGTCCCAGGCTATCTGGAAAACACATCTTCCAGGTAGCATTTCACTGTTTCGTGTAAAATATAGAAGAAGCTGGACAACTATATCAATTCCTCTGTGTCCTCCCACTGAAGATGCTTAAAGGTACCATACACCTTATCCCTACATATAGTGGAAATCGTACCGGACAATATTATTCTTTTTTACTTTCAACATTCATGTACATCTTATAGAACTTGAAAATATGAATTTATCCAAATTGTTACCATTTCTGTTGCTTGTCTATATCCAAATTTACAAGTTTCCTTCTCATATCATTAGCATGTCCTTTCAGCCTAAACACCCTCATTTAGTATTTTTTTTAAGTTCTGCTAGTAAGAAACCTCCAGTTTTGTTTCATCTGATAATTTCTATCTTCCTTCTTTCCTAAAACAGGTTATCAAATTCTGGATTAAGAGTTCTTTCAGCACTTCAGAGATGTCCCACTACCTCTGGCCCCATTGGTTTATCACTTAAAATGTAATTTGAATACATTCAAATCATTCTTCTATGTGTGACTTATCCGATTTATGTAGCTGCTTACAATCTTTGTTTTGATTTTCTATAGTTTAATTATGATAGGTCTGGGCATAGCTTTCTTTGAATTTATCAATATCTGAACTTCCCGAATAGGTAACTTTATATAAATCACCAAACTTGGAGGTTTCCACCATTATTAATTCAATTTACTTTGAAGCTATCTTTCTTCCCTGTTTCTTTTTAGATTGTTGCTGAGGGTATAGTTCAGTAGTAGATGCATGTTTCCAGCATCAAAAATGAGAGGGGAGAGGAAAGGAAGAAGGAGAGAGGGAGACAGGAAAAGAGGGAGACAGAAAGGAGAAAATAAAAAAGGAAAAAGGAACGACAAGACAAGAAAAACATTGAGGCTCTGTTCCTTTTGTGTGTATATTTTTTCTTCTCTTTGAATTGTATAATTTCTATTGCTTTATTATCAAGGTTTTATTTATTCTTATTTAGTATAGATTTCTTTGATTTTATCCCATGTGAATTTTTTCTCCCTAAATTTTTTTTCTTTTTTGGTACTCCTGGAAATTGAACTTGGGACCTTGCGCTTGCAAGGCAGACAGTGGCACCACTCAGCTAAATCCCTGGCCTTCCCTAAACTGAATCTGTAGATTTATGTCTTTCACCCAAATTGAGAGGGATTAAAAAAAATCTTAATCCTACATCTTCCTGGGGTTTTGGTCATTTCTTCAAATCTTTTTTCTTGTTCCCCATGGGATCATCTCTATGGATCTATTTTCTGATTCACTGACCCTCATTTGTCATTCTGATCTGCTCTCGGTCCTCCCAAGTGTGCTTTTTATTTATTTCATTGTATTTTTCAAGCCTAAAACTCCCATTTTATCCTTTGTTTTCTGGCTGAGACTTTTTATATTTTCCATTTGTTTTCAGGAAGTTCAAGACTGCTTGTTGGAACAGCTTCATAATCATTGGTTAAAAGTCTTTGGCAAATAATTTCTATCTTTTGTATTGGCATTTTTTGATGGCATTTTCCATATGAGCTGAGATTTTTCCTGGTTCTTTCCATGCTGAATTATTGGGATTTTATCCTGGACATTTTGTATATTATGTCGTGGGACTCTGAGCATACAGATCCTCTTGGGAATGTCAGAGTTTTGTTTTAGTTGACAACTGATTTTGTTAGGTCTATGCTTCATTTCAACTCTCCTTTAGTGCACTGTGGTCTCAATGCAAGTTGTTTTCAAAGCTATTGCAGTTCTTTTAAAATCTGTTCTCTCTGTGTGTGTCCCACTGTTTAGACTGGGTCCTAGACAGGAGTCTGTTAGTTCAGTCCTCAGAGGCTTTAGTATGTTGAGGAAGAACAGGTCCAGGCATGAGCAATTGGAAGATGGGCACAGACATTCTTAAACAAGGAATCACTTTGTCAAGCACCATTCTCTCTACTATCTCCCTGGGACTCTCCATCTGGAAATTTAATGCCCCACTCTGTCACTGAGTTGCACTATACCTCTCACTCAAGGCCAAGCAAGAACTGACTGGTAAACAAACGAAACCAAAGGAAATTCTCTGCCAGTGCTGTAGAACCTGCAAGTCTGGTCCCTGTCTCTTTGTTGCTCTCTTCCTTTCAGAGTTCTCAGGTGACATTCTGTGTACTTCATCTTTCTGAGAGCTCAGTCCATCCAGGTTTTTTGTTTTTGATTTTTTTGTTTTGTTTTGTTTTTTGTACTGGGGATCAAACTCAGAAGCAGGTGGCAGAACCATTGAACTAAATCCCTGGCCCTTTTTTTTTTTTTTAATTTCAAATGCTGTGCTTTTAAGTTCTAAAAGTTTCAAATGCCTCTTTTTAATGTTTTCTTTTTCTCTGCTGAGAACAGTTTTCTTTCTATTCATTTTAGATGTGTTTACCTTTACCTTGTGGAGCTGTGTGAAGTCTTTGTTTAACAGTGCCCCCATTTGGGTCGTCTGGAGGTTTTCATCTATTGATTTTCTTTTCCCTTGAGGATTGCTGACATTTTTCTGGAATGTTCTTGTATATTTAGAATTCTGGGTGATATCTTTGACTTTTTTTTTTTTTTTTTTTTTTTTTGGTACTGGGGATTGAACTTGGGTCCTTGCGCTTGCAAGCAGGCCACCAAACCACTAAGCTAAATCCCTGGCCCATCTTTGCCATTGTTAATGGTATTTTGGTTAGACTCTTAAGTTTTTGTTATAATGTTCCTTTAATTGCTGTCTTCAGGTTTTAACTCCCCTCTGCAATCTGCCTGCATATGTTTAATTTCAAACATCCTTAGCTTGTTTCTCCTTGTAATTTTTTCAAAATATTGAGTGTGATCAGTAAAAGAGAAAAGCTGTAGTTGGTATATTATATTTTGTGAGTAACAGTTTAATTTTCTATTTTCTTAAATATAGACAGAAAATACATGTTAAACAAATAAAGGAAGAGATGAACTGCTTATTTACTGAAGTCCTTCTGGATCTGTGCTTGAATTCTTTTTTGTTGTTGTTTGTTCCTTTTTATTTCCTTAGTTCACCCAAAAGCTCCCAGTAGTGTCCATTTTAAGAATATAGGTGCCACAAATGCCACAATGACTTGGAAGATACCTGCCCTTGGGAATTATTCCACACTTCTGTGTCAGATTGAACTCCGTGATAAAGAAAATGCACTACAGGTAAGAACACTGCATAGCTAGATATGGCTGCACTCACCTGTAATGCTAGGTTTACACTGTGGGAGGCTGAGGCAGGAGGATCACAAGTCTAGCTCAGGCTAGATAATTTAGCGACTTAGCAAGATCCTTACTCAAAGAGGGAGACTGAAGGAGGGGGCATCTGAGAATATGGCTTAGAACTAAGGCTTTGGGTTCAGTCCCCAGTACTGAAAAAAAATATTGCATAATTTTCTATTTTCAAAAATCCTTGGGTTCTTGAACAACAAATTAAAATCAGTTTAAACTCGTTTCTTTGTGGGTTCAGTGATGTGGGTTCAATCCATGAAATTAGCCATGGACGTTTAGCATTGGGAAGAAGGCCTTGGGATTTGCTTTTCTTTGTTTTTCAAGACCAGATCTTCTCTAGTTTGGGATTTGCTGTGTTCTGATACAGCTTTGCAATGAGTTATGTGCACTGATACTTCCACCTTCATTATTTTTTCTTGTTTCCTTCTTTCCTTTCAATCAAGGAGCACAATGTCTCCATCAAGGTGAACGGCGAGTTTCTCTTCAGTGAGCTGAGGCCTGACACACAGTATGTGGTCCGCATTCGCTGCGCCAATGCCAAACACGTGTGGAAATGGAGCCAATGGGTCACTCAGCCCCTCGTCACAGCAGAAGCCGGTATGTTTGGCTCGCCATCTTCACCCCTAGGAACACCTAAGCCTCAGGAATGGATTGGGTTCCCTTCTGTTATACCAAAAACTAAGGGGGAAATATGAAAACAGAAACAGAATACCATTTTTAAAAATTGGATTAAATGCCTAATGAGTGGGCAGACATCAGCTTCAAACATTTGATGTCGGTATTATTTCTACTGTTCATTTCCTCTCCTACTTTAAATTTTTCCAAAAGTTTTATAAGGTACTGCTATTGTATTCACGTTGGATCTCAGCTATGTAAATTAGTCTAGAGGACCTTTATGTCAGCACTGGGAACAATCAAACTCTAGTGCTATGGAAGTTGTTGGTCTTACACTAAAGTGAAGCTGTGTTTGGGGATATAATGATATTTGGACCCTTCCTCTTTCTTGGTAAGTGGTTTGTTCACACAGTGGCACACTGGGTGTCTTCTCTGCTGCTTGTGGTGGTAGAATCTCTTCAGTACTGAATGCACAGAGTTTCCTTCCATCGACAACTATGTTCCAGGCTCAGGACAGCCTCAGGAGAGATGGTTGTCCCAGCTCCCAACTCTTTCCCATTCAAGATAGTGAGTGTTACTGTGCCTGTTTTCCAGATGAGGCAACTTATACCCATGGGCTGAAGAGATCCACCCAGTTTGCATTGTTAATGGGTGGTAGAGATATGATGATAAAAATATCAGTTCACCTCCATTGTGTGCCAGAGAGCACGCTATGTGTTCACTGCGCTTTTCTCTTCCTCCCTTGCTATGTGTGTAGGTAGCATTACTGTCCTCATTGTATAAATGAGGACACTGAGGTCCAGGGAAGCGAGGCTGAGCAACATTGCTGGTTTCTCCAGTAAGTGATTGAGCTGTGACTCCAGAGCACCAGCCTGGCCCTAGCTGGGTCCCACATGACTTCCTTTTTGGAGCTGTTATTACAACTTTGCAATCATGTTGATTCATGCCTTGGCTGTGTTACTGCCAGAGGGGAGATTATAAGTCTTCTTTTTGTTCCATCTTGCTGTGGGAGTGAGGGCAGAACCCTTTCTGTGGCATTTTCTGAGGACCCTTTTAAAGCAGCAGCTCTAATTGGAGGCTGGTGAAAGCAGCTGATCAGAAGCTGTATTGTATATAGAATGCCATCAGCTGCATTACAGTACTGTTTTATTTTGAGTAGTAATTTACAAACCAGCTAAATATTTTGCACTAAGTTTGGAATCTCAAACTGTACCAGAGATCTCAATAAAGCATTTATTTTAATACTGACTTTTCCAATGACTTATTTACTGAATTGAAATCTGCTTCCATAAATTTAAAATAATATGAGATCACTTTTAATTTGAGTATTATATTCATCAGTTTTTCTGTTGCTGGGACAAAATACCCAATACTTGCAACGTAAGGGAGGGGAGGCTTAATTTAATATCATAGCTCTCAGTCCATGGCTATCTCCAAGGCAGAAGCAGGAGGGCGTGGTGGAGAAAATCTGCTCAGTTTGTGGTGGGGGGAAGCAGGGAAGGGGACAGAGCCAGAGAGGCAGGACCTGGACCAGGTAACACACACAGGTACACCTCCATGATGTGGGAGGACACACTCAGAAGTGTGGTCCCCCACTGGGCAGCTCCCCAGCCCACCAAGTCAATCATCCAGCCCATCTGTCACAGTGTAAAGGGTCAGTAACCATCATAATAAGAAATTACTTTTGTGTTAATTTTTGAGTATTGCAGACTCCAAGATGGAGATAAATCTTTGTGTTACCTTTCAAAACAATTCTTTTTTTTTTATTGAGTTTATTGGTACATTTTCTTTCAAGGAGCTGTTTTGAATCAAATCACAGATTATCTGTTCTCTCATGAAAGGACCTAAAAAAAGTGAAACACCTTGTTAGGTTTGTTAATTTTTTGACAGGTTGCTGTTTAACACTTTAAACTTTTAATTGCCTTGTTTATTTTTTTTCCTCATCGAATTTATCGGTACAACTTAGGTATACAGTACAGTTACATTCATCATTGGGATCTTGTACCTTTACATGACAGGTGGTCTTGGTTCTCATTTTTCCCCATACCTCTGTCCTCCCTTCACCCCCTCCTCCCTTCCCTATTTACAAAAACTTTATTTCCATTTTTTCATTTTCTCAGATTTTTTTCTTTTCCCTTATTTCCTTTCTCCTCCCCTTCCCACTTCCCCTACACCTTTAGCCCTTTACTTCCTATTACACATTGTCAGTTATATCATTAGGATCTTATTTATAATTACAATTTTTCATACCAGACAAACTATTCAGTATTTACACATTTGTGACTTATTTATTTCACTTAACAGTAACCTCAATATGCATCCATTTTCCTATGAATGACTTTAATTTCTCATTTTTTATGGCTGAGTAGTACTGCATTTTATAGAAAAACCACATTTTCTTTGTCCAGTCTCCAACTGATGGGCAAATGGGCTGTTTCCAAGTTTTAGATATTACAAATTGTGCTGCTATAAACATGGGTGCACATATATCATTGTGGTATGATTCTTTTAATTCTTTTGGAAAGATACCCAGCAGAGGGATGGCTGGGTTAAGTGGAACCTTTAATCCTAGTTGTTTGAGGTACCTCCATATTGATTTCCATAGTGGTTGCACCAGTCTGCACTCCCACCAACAGTGGAGAAGGGATCCTTTCTCCCCACAACCCTGCCAACATGTGTTATTGGCTGACCCCACAAAAAATGACTGCTATTAAGAAGTCAACCAATATTTATTTATTTATTTATTTCTCTTCAGTACTCAGGATCTAATCCAGGGCATCTCATAAGCTACATCCCCAGCCCTTTTTAAATTTTTAAATATTGTGACACAGTCTTGCTAAGTCACTTTGCCCAGGCCATGCCGGAACCTGCCATCCTCCTGCCCCAGCCTCCCATAGTGCTAGGATTACAGGGATGCAGCACCATGCCTTGCTTTTAAGCAAAATGTTTAAACCATTCTAAGATGGAGGATTTATATTACAAAATGCAAACCTTAAAAGGAAGATGATATAGTTTTATTTTCAATTTGCAGAAGCAGAGATAGAATTTCTGTACATGAATTCACAAAATGTAGTTGAGTAGAGAGATGTTATTGCGACTGACTTGAGCAGGAGGTCTGCTGTTAAGGCCCAGCTGCAGGATGATGACAGTACCTGTGAGTCTTCCTTTTCTTTTCTTCTCCTTTCTTTTTCTTTTCTCCTCTCTTCTACTTTCCCTTCCCTTTTGTTCTTTTTATTATTTTTAGTTATTTTGAGACAGGGTCTCACTGCATAGCCCAGGCTTGTCTTGAACTCGTGATCCTCCTGCCTTAGCCCAAATGCTGGGATTACTGGTGTGCACCGTGGCGTGTGGCGGTACTTATCTGTCTCTTTGGATACACTAGCAGCTAAAGCTGGATAATCCTAGTGGCTAAGGAATGCTATAAACATTTTCCACTATTTTTTCTATTGTCGTATGCTTATCAGAGTATGACCCTGACAAAACTGTGACAGTCCTATATGTGATTCCTATAAATACAGATTATTACACAAATATTAAACAAAATGACTTACAAACTGGAAACTGTACTCATTAGGACTTCAATCGTATTTTTTAAATCACTGATGAAGACACGTACCTCTTGAAGAATTTACAATAATTTTATTGATTTTATTATTGTTTCCATCACCAGTGTACTTTTTATGTGCATTTACTTGAATTTTTCATGCAAGCTGAGCCTTCAAATGACTTTCCATTTCCTAAAGGTGCATGGTGTCGTGGCTCAGATCCTATCACGGGTTCAAATCTTGGCACTGCTCTTACACTTGAATGATTTTGAGCAATTCGTTTAATCTCCTTGGGCCCTAGTTTCCTTATCTAAATAATAGGATAAATAAGAATATCTACCTCATAGTGCTAGGAGTATTAAATGAGTTGGTATATGGACAATGGGAGTGGCCTGGCATTTTGTAACCCATCTGTAAATATTAGCTGTCATTTTGTGTAAATGAGGTCCTCCCAAACAGTTTTACATGAAAGCACCCATATATAGCTGACTCGAATTAAAAGACTGATTCCTGCTCATGATAAGTTCATTGAGCAAGTGTAAATTCAGTGGAAATCAATCAACTAACCAACCAACCTATCAATCAGTAAAACAAGTTTGCATGGATTTCTGAGCAAAGGATGGAGATGAGAAAAAAGCATTTTGGAGCAGTTATACAGGTCCTTTTCTAAGTTCTCTCTTAGTTTGCAGATTATTCTTGAACAGTGTAGGAAAACCATCTTGGGGGGGAGGATGCAGCAGAGCCCTGCATGTCCACAGGCAGGCAGCTGACCCAGGCTCAGGTAGCAGAGGGGAACAAGGAGGTATTTCTAGTGACTTCAGCAAAGGGACAGCAGTAGAGTTAGTGAAAGCAGAGCTCCTGCCCTTTCTGCCCCAGTGGTAGCTGTGCAGAGGGCATAGTGGATCACTGTGGATCACTGCCTAGAAAGCAAAAATGTGGAAAATTACCTAACTTACTTTCTAGAACTGATCTGACAGATGTTTCCAGAATTCTTCGCTGACTTCCAGAAGTTGTAGAACTTGACCTTTATAAAGGCTTCTAGTTTGATGTCATTTTCAGGGGCAGCAGGTCTTTTCTAAAGCACCTACTATGTGCCCCTGAAGAAGCATGAGCAGTGCAGTTGTGGTAAGGGAGTACAAATCACAGAGTGAAAAGGTGAGACATAAACCTCAGGGAGGAGACAGGTGTCATCACTGTCTTAGAAAGAAGCTGAATGCATGTCTTGCTGTGTACACATCATATGATCCAAGAACTATATTTGCTTAATTTCAGTTCCCTCCAAGGCTCTTGATGTCTGGAGAAGAGTGAAGTCAGAGAAAGGACTTCTTCATGTGACCATATTTTGGAAGGTAAGTTGTGTAGCTTCAGAATGTCTGACCTTTCTTTCATTGTGAAACTGGATATTAGTAGCCTTTCCATGGAGAGAGTGTAACATCAATCTAATAAAACTGCTTATCCCGTGGAGGAATCCCACTGCACACTAATGTCCTAATTCTTGAGCTAATCTTGAGTCTCACAGCCTGTGCCACTGATGGCTGAATCCTGCTTATCTAGATAGAACCTTATACTCTGTAAGTTCTATTCAAGCCCACTCCAAGTTTTTGCAGGAGCCAGAGCAAGGGTATACATGGACAGCCACATACCACATTTTAATATTGTGAGCTGGGTGCAGTGGTACACACTGGCCATTCCAGTTACGCTGGAGGCTGAGGCAGAAGGATCACAAGTTTGAAGCCAGCCTGGATACTCAGTGAGACCTTGTCTCAAAAGCAAAAGTAAAAAGGGCTGAGAGTATAGCTTAGTGGAAGAGTGCCTGCCTAGCATGCAAGAGGCCACGGTTCCCCAGTACCGTGAACATTAATTAATCATGTATATTTAAAAATTATAAATCAAGCTATAAAACTGTAACACGAAATAAATATTTTCCTCTGCCTGGCCTAAAACTGTAATATGAAATAAATATTTTCCTTCTGCCTGGCCTAAAACTGTAATACAAAATAAATATTTTGCTTCTGCCTGGCCTAAAATCCTTCCAAGCCTGGAAGTTCAGCTTGACATTTAAACTCTGGGTTCTCCAGGGTTTCAGAACTAAATATGGCGATGTGGACAAAGCCCACCCTGCTTTTTCTCCCACCTCTCATTTGGCACCTTCTGCTTTCTGAACACACCTGTGGCCGTGCCAGTCTCACGATCAGGTTCTGTCCTCCTCCCGAACAGCCTTTTCTCCGTCTCAGGTCTAGGGGTACAGACAGCAAGGCTCAGTCTCTCATGGGGTGGGTCATGAGGGCCTGGGCTGTGCAGGCAGGAAATTCCCAGGAACCTGAAAGATCTTTTAAAAGAAGGAAGGTGGGTTCTGGGTGTGAGACGACACAAGTGAATGCGGAGTGAAGCCAGGCTGGCCCCTCCCACAGAGCCTGTGGGTTCGCAGTTTCTGTTCATGGGTCTCCCCCTCTCAGCTGCTCCCCACATCTTTGTTTCTCTTCCAAGTTAGACTCTCCTGTCCTGATTCCACTTCAGGTCTCTCCTCTGTGGACAAAGTCTGTCTTCAGCATTGTTTCGAGATGTTCATCTCTTTACTCTGGTTAGATTAGAGTGCTTGGTGTTGAGGACTATTTTCATTGATAAACTGAATTTGCTGGTGTGTGTGTGTGTGTGTGTGTGTGTGTGTGTGTGTGCACATGTGGGTATCATGCAGTTAAGGGTTAAGGGACAGAGAGATGAGAATGTAATTACACAAAACCTAAAATCCTTTCAAGGTAAAATCCATTTTGAAATGATTGTCAATATTTTTTTTCAGCCACTATCAAAATTTCATGCCAATGGCAAGATCCTATTCTATAATATTGTCACAAAGCAGCTAGATAAAAAATCTGAGTTAAAGTTCCAGTCTATTCCTGCACCAGCCAATGGCACAGAACTAACTCTCAACCAGGGTTCTTACCAAATCCAAGTCACGGCCAACAACAGTGTGGGTACTTCCCTTGCCTCGGAGATTGTCATATCTAGAGACTCTGGGAATGGTGAGTTGGTTTTTGGTTGGTTTTTGTTTCATTCTATAGGAAAACTTGATCATAGTAAAGTTGTGGATAAATTGAGAAGATGGTACCCTGGGGAGATAGCAACCAAGCACTGTTAGTCATTTTCTTCTGGGCCAGTTATTACTGTAGGACAGTGTCCTCATGGATGGAGGGAGGTTTTGTCTATAGCTCTGGACATGAGTTCTTCAGCATATTAGAGGAATTATTAAATGCAACCCCACAAACAGTACTTACTGAGAATTAGGGTTAGTATTTCACTGCTTTGTGGCTTGTGAAATGTAAATTGCATTTACTGTGTTGTAAAAGATTTTGTCAGTCTTTGCCACCTACAAAGAGGACATGAACATTTACAGAGGTAATAAGACCAATTGGCATCATCTTTCAGTAGGTGCCTTGACAATATTGTCGCATAAAAGATAACTACTTACCAGTCTTAGATGGCAAAAGAACAAGAAGTGACACAACGTAGAAATGACCTCAACTGCAAAGTCATTAATGATATCAATTTCCTTCTTGGTAAAGCCATAGAAAAGGTTGAGTACAGTAATGCATCTAAGTCATGTGTTATGAAATGATGCACATGTGTGCATAAATCAACCATTAGTTAGGTGATACTCTAAGGTTATTTATTCATCTTGCAATAATGTCATTCTTTAGTTGCTGGATCATGGTTTCAGTTGTTTAGTCTATGGTCAGCTGTGGTGAGGCAGTATACATGGTGGGCAGAGCACAGTGGAGCTCAAGTACCCATGCAGGTCCAGGAAGCAAAGAAGGAGAGAAAGGCACCTGAGTCCCCATAGCCTCTTCAAGGGCATGATCCCCATAACCTAACTTCCTCTAACTGGGCCCCACTTTATAAAGGTTGAGAATGAAGGCTTCAGCAGTTGGCCTTTGGAGGACATTTCAGATTCAAACTACAGCATATATATTTATTTTCTTCTTCAGAACCTTTTAATTAAATCACTCTCTTTGTTTCTGTGCAGAAGAGGTGGAAGAAGAAAAAATTAATGGAACCAAGGATGGGTTCCATATGTCTTGGAAACCCCAATCTAGAGGCAGGACAGGATATGTTGTGGACTGGTGTGAGCATCAAAGGAACCTGCACTGTGATTTGCAGTGGAAGAACCTAGGTCCCAATAACACAAGTACAGTCATCAGCTCAGGTAAGAACTCCCATGATATCCCATTGTAGCCAATTTCAGCAAGTTCAGCCAGGATTGCTGGTTTACCTCATAGATAGACATCTTGTGCCAATCTAATGATTTTTAAATGGCGAATCTAGTCTGGATGCTAGCAGTTAGCATTTCTGGTTTTTTTCCCTCACTGAGTTTATTGGTACATTTTAGGTATACAGTACAGTTACATTCATCATTGGGATCGTGTACCTTTACATGACAGGTCTTGGTTCTCATTTTTTCCCTTGTCCCTACCCTCCCTTCACCCCCTCCTCCCCTCCCCATTTACAAACATTTTATTTCCATTTTTTCATTTTATCATATTTTTTCCTTTCCCTTACTACCTTTCCCCTACCCTTCCCACTTTCCCTACACCTTTAGCCCTTTTCTTCCTATTTCACATTGTCAATTATCTCATTAGGATCTTATGTACTATTATAGTACTTGGATGGGAGGCAGCATTTCACAAAAATGTATTCTAATATTTGAGTTTTAAATACAGTTTTGCAATGTATGTAGATGTAATGTCTGCATAGGTTTTTATGATTCTAAACTCCTCTAAATTAGTAGTCTCGAGTGAACACAGAGAGACATTGTAACAGTTGTGCAGACAGCTTTTACAAAAACAGAGCAGTGCATGTTCTGGAGAGATGCTTAGGATATGAGAGTTTGTGGAATTCAGTCATAAAGTCCTGCAGTTTTAGTAAACTTGTAGCACTTAAGCTCTTACTTCCTACACTGGATTTATTACTTTAAGATTGCTAATCAGCAAAATCAAAGGAGCCTGAGTTTGTTTGTGGTTTAAGCAAAAGAGGTGGGTGGCACCATCTACTGGACAGATGTAGGAAGTTTCTCAGTCTAGAGAGTTAATGGCCCTCGCTGAGTTTCAGTGGCCTAGTGGCCCTTGTGGGGCAAGATTGCAGAGATTCAGACGTGGGAGAAAGTGAGGATGTGGAAGCAAACTATTCAAGACCCTGGGCTTTAATGTGAAAAGAGAAGCAAGTGACTTTAAGGAGGTTGAAGTCACCAGAGAGTTAAAATGGTTTTATGTGAGTGGATAAGGATGTGTTGGAGAGCTCTTGCTTCAGGGGACTCTGCAGAAGACAGTCCCTGCTGGAGAGGACACTAGGGAACCAAGCCTCTGCAGCACAAAGCACTCTAAGGCTTAGCAGAGGAAGAAAGGGGGTGGAGAAAAATGCATGAAATCTAAGAATGAACTAATTTAGAGTAACACAAATTCATTTTTGGCAGTTTTGCTTTTCAGAACTAAAGAGAATTTTGTTGTTGTTGTTGTTGTTACTGAAAATCTGGTAACTTTTCTCCTCTAGATGCTTTTAAACCAGGGATCCGATATAACTTCAGAATTTATGAACTATCTACAGAAAAGATTGCTTATTTAATAGAGAACAGAACAGGTTATATTCAGGAACTGGGTAAGTTAAAGCATCCCCTGTGAAGGCTTGTTCAGAGCCATCCATCAACTGCCACTTTGGGGTTTAAGATTTCGTCCACTTACTTAATTTTCATAATCTCATTTATTCTGGGAAGTGGGTTTTAAAAATTATTTTCCAGTCATACAAATGTAAAACATTTTCATTAAAGGTGGTTTATAAAATGTTATGCAAGAGGAGAAGGTAAAAATCACTGCTATTTTAATACTTGAAGGCAAAAGTACAAAGTTAATATTTTAGATATATCCCCATTCCATAAAAATGGGATCTTATTCTACACATTTTGTAAATTGCTTTTTTGATTGATGTCATTAAATATTTATTTAATCATCTCATTTTCCTGACTGAAAAGTGACCCAACACATGCGTACATCAAATCAATTTAGGTTTGTGATTTTCACCTAGGAACTACAAAATTCATGTCTAAGTAAAAATTTCCCTCCTTTCTTCCTTTTTCCAGTTCTGTAGGCCCTATATGAGTCCTCTTTGTTTTATCTGAATCTTTGTCCCTATTCACAGTATTGTTTTTAAATGAGGTCCTAGAAGTGGACTGCTGCGTTAAAGGGTTTGAACTTCTCATTTTTTCGTTTCACTTGTAGTTTTTAACACTTTCCAGACATGTTGTGCAGTCACCTCCTGTAAGTTACAACCACTGCCCTGGCATCTTCCCTTTTCCAGACCCCTGCTTACTCACCTTCTTCCACATCTGAGGTCTCCCAGGTGTGAGCTGTGCACAGGCCCTGAATTGCTCGCACTCACAGACCAGCTGTCAGGGTGGGTTCCTTTGGGAGCTGATCCAGGTTCCAGCTGCGCTCCAACAGGCAAGAAGTGTGCTGCTCCAGTGTGTCCATGTGCACAGATCAGGTGTGCATGAGCATGTGAGGGGGGAAACAGATCCAGGGAAGCCATCCGAATAAACACTCCCAGAGTTTTTTCAGTGACATTTGGATAACTGCATTGCCTCCATGTGGGCACTAGAATTCTTCAAAAATACTTCCTCGCCCTTTTCAACATCACCCTGCCTCTTTCTTCCATTCATCTTCATTTCAGTAAATTCTTTGTGGTTGAATCTTCCCTCAGACATTATTTAGAATTCATCCACAGAATCAAGAGACCCTCTACAAGTTACTTGGCCACTCTGGGTATGTTTCTTCATCTGTGAACATCAAGGCCTAAACAAAAAGATGGTTCAACTCTTTCCTAACTTTCACAAACTATATCAAGGCATAAGTCCTCCTGGGAAACAGGTAAAACTCCTGAGCTCAGCATACACCCTTACAGCCTCTGGAGCTGGTGGTGTTTGTATGCTCAGTATTCGTGAACTGTTTGATACTATTTCCAGATCATGACATTGTCCCGCCCCGCTTCCTCTCCTAGCTCCTTTGGACAGCCCTGAAGTGAAAGCCCTTAACTTGACATCCCACTCCTTCACGCTCAGTTGGAAGGATTATGACACTGAGGCTCAGCGTGGTTTCATACAAGGCTACCGGGTCTGTCTGAAGTCCAAGGCCACTCAGTGCCATCTAGATGCTGTAGAGGAGCTTCTGCCAGGTGATGTCACATTTGATTTATTTGCACTTTCTAGATCTCATTATTCAAGAGCATGGAGAAGGCTGCCATCTCTGACTGTGGCCAGCCTGTGTGCCCCTCTTGCAGGGTTTTAGGTCAGAAAGTTCTCAATCAAATGAGGAAGCTAAGCTGTGGGGGTGGGGGACTCTTTTAACTTAAAAAACAGTGGGGTCCTGACAATCTTATCCTTAAAATGTCTCTTTATTTATGGAGCTTTTTTTCTTTGACTTTGCTAAATGCTATTACTATTCATTTTTGGTAGTGCTGGGGGATTACACCAAGGCTCTGATGAACGCTAAACAAGTGTTCTACCACTGAACTACACCACCAGCCCAACATATTTTAAGTCTCTTCCAAGCCCTTTCATTCTCTGGAAGATTTGGATGCTTTATTTGTGTCCCTAACCTCCCTTCTTTTTAAAATTTATTTATGCTTGTTTATTTGTTTATTTATTTATTTTGAGGTAGTAGGGATTGAACCCAGGGCCTTCATACTGAGCTACATCATAAAACTTTTTTAGTTTTTTTTTTATTTTGAGACAGGGTCTAAGTCATTAGGTTGCTCAGACTGGGCTGGAACTTGTGGTACTCCTGCCTCAGCTTCCTGGACTTTCGGGATTATCTTTGTGGACTGTTGCCCCATGCTCAACATCCCTTCTTTAATGGATTTTTTTGTTATTTACCAGGGTGGTAAAATTATTTGATTTTTTTCAGTTGGTTTAAAAATGTTGACAGTGCCGAGGCAGCCAGAGTATTGGTGTCCCATTCTCTCACAAGATCTCTTCTCTTTTTAATTTTGAAATTTAAAAAAAATCACAGATAATTCAACATGTTGTAAACACGACATCAGCAACCCAAAACAAAAGACATTCCTTGTGGAAAATCTGCAACCTGAATCGTTCTACGAATTTTTTGTCTCTTCCTACACAAGTGCCGGCGAGAGCCCTGTTGGAACTTTCACAAAGGTCATGACCCAGGATGAACACTGTGAGTTTTTCCAAATCAAAACACTTTTCTGAGGAGTTTCTACGAAAGCCACAAGAGAAATGTGGGCCTTGGGCTTTGTCTAGATCAAGACTTCCAACTTTTATTCCCAACCACTCCTTTTCTCACCCTTTCTCTTTCACTTTTTGTTACACACACACACACACGCATACACGTGCACATTTTTCTGCCTCGTCAAGTCAAACTCATGATGAAGTTTGCATAGATATTTGGAGGACAATAAACATGTAAAATTATTCTCATTCACAAATTTATTTTTATGTTTTGCAGTGGTAGAAGGAATTATTAAAAATCTTCCTTTTCCCTTCTTCAGCCCACATGCTGATGCGTATCATACTGCCTATGGTTCTCTGTGTCTTGCTCATTGCAGTCATGTGCTACTGGAAGAGCCAGTGGTAAGTATGACAGTTTTATCCAAGAAGCCAGAGAAAATCCTAAAGGTGTTTAGTAAGATAGAAATGGCACTGAATAATATGAAAGAAGTGCGCAAAAGGAAAAGGACACAAGAAGCCTAGGTGAAAAGATATAATTTGTTTGACAGTTCTGCTTTCTATAGTACTGAAGAAAACAATAAGCATTTAAAGAATTTCCCAACTTTTTTCAATAGCCATAGCTAATATTTACATATCACTATGTGCCTGGTGGTGTTAGAGGTGCTTTCTATAGTATAACCTTCTGTGGCTTTTGCCTCAATGTCCCCTTAAAGGCTCGTGTGGTCATAGGTGGGGCTTTTTCAGAGGTGGCTGGATCCAGAGTGTGTGACACTGGAACTGATTTGGTGTAGTGCTAGGATTAAGGGCCCTAGGCTTAAGGGTGTGAGCACTACCCACCCTAAGCAGCCTGGATAAAATATAAGGGTCAGAAAGAGCTGTGGTTGTCCCTTGCTTGCTCTCACCTGCTTACTTGCCGTGGACTGTTTCTCCTCTGGGATGCCTCTCTGTCATACCACCCTGCCTTGGAGCCAGCTAACTATGAGCTGAAACCTCTACAAACTGTGAGCGAAATAACCTTTCTTCTTTTAACTTTGGGTGTTGGGTATTTTGTCTCAGCAGCAAGAGAAGTACATAACTAAGGCAAACAAACCTACTTAATCTCTGTAACACCACTGTAAGTACTGCAGTTTATCTCCCTTTAGCCAACAAATAAATTAAAGCATGGAAGAGTAAAGAAACTTGCTCGGTAAGGGATAGAGCGAGGATTAGAAGCCAGAAATCCAACCCTAGGATTCTCACTTTCAGTGATTCCAGTAAACTCGGAAATTCAGTCTCAATTTCACTTCTTTCGTAGGGTGAAGGAGAAGTGTTATCCTGACATTCCAGATCCTTACAAGAGCAGCATCTTTTCATTGATAAAGTCCAAGGTAAATGTGGAGAAACTATCTGCACAACATACCTATTAAGGACTGATCCACGTCAGGACTATATTAATCCTTTCTTAGATTTCACTTGGAAAATATATCACATTAGAGGCCACCTGTGTTTCTACAGCCATAAAATGGGTGATTGGAGGGGCTGAGTGTAGCTCAGTGCTGGAGTGTTTCTAGCATGCACAAGGCTCAGGGTTCAATCCCAACACCAAAAATTAATCAATTGATTGATTAATTTTAAAAATGTAATTGGAGCTTTGATTTCTGTAAGGGAAAACCTTTCTGGCTCCAAGTTAACTTGTGATAAGGAAGAAGTGTGAACAAAATTGAAGCTTTAAGTGCACTTCGCATGCTCATTTGCTGCACGCGCACACACCTTTCTATTTACAATTTTTTTTGTTTCCTATCCAGGAGAACCCTCACTTAACAATCATGAATGTCAAAGACTGCACTCCAGATGCTATTGAAGTTGTAAACAAATCCGAAGGGACCAAGACACCGTTCATAGGCACTGGGAAGACACTCACAGAAAGTGAATTCCCCAAGCCTGCCAACTTCTACCTGCTGCCAGCCCAGGATTCCTCTGTCCCTGGCCCCTGCATCTCTTTTGTGAACCACACCTATCGTGAGACAGCCTGTGACTCTAGCTCCTGTGCCCATACTCCAGTAACTGACACAGCCTTGCCATGTCAGCTGCGGCTGTTGGCCTCTCCTGATAATTTACAAAAGACACTAGAAAAAACACACAGAGATTCCCAGGGGGAAATCCCAGCTGGAGAAATTAGTTTGAATTATGTGTCCCAGTTGGCTTCTCCCGTGTCTGGAGACAAGGACAGTCTTTTGATAAGTTCACCAGTGCCAGTACTCTGTTCAGAGTATAAAATGCAAACGGTAGTACCCTCTTGCCTTGATTCAACTGTCCTTAGTGATAATGGCAGCCTCTCTTCAGTGACTCTTTTAGGTCAAGGTAAACACTACAATTAATCAGCACAGACCCAGTTCACATGCTACACAGATGCCAACAGGAGGATCCAGGCACCATCTCATCTCCATTTTTCCTAGTCCTTATCCCAGCAAACTGTCACTGTACGCGAGTCTAATCTAGGTAAGGCAACTAGAGTTTGGCTAGAATAGAGGCAAGAAGCTGTGGAACTTAACACTCCCTTGGGATCATGGGAATATTCTGACCTTGTTGCCATTTGTTCTAGGTTCATCTTTTATCACAGTAGACCTGAACTTGACATTGGGAATAGCATTAACCACTCACTCCACAGACTCTATGTACTCATACTGTACTGGGTGGCTGTAGTCCTAGCTCAGTTTTTAGTAGAAAATAGTTCCATTAAAATTTACTCTCAGACTTAATACCTTAATAGGTTATTTTAAAGCAATTAGATTATAGGCTTTGACAAAGGCCACAGATTACTAAAGCATAAATGTGAATTTATTGTCACTGAAAAAGATGTTTGAGACTAAAAACTGATTTTAGACTTGCCTTTACGTAGTAAGAATTTATAATTGACCAGTAAAATCATCTCTTTAAGGTACACAAATCTGGACTGAGGATTTACCTCAGTGGTTCTGCCACCTGCCTTGCAAACACAAAGGCCTGAGTTTGATTCCCAGTACCAAAAACAAACAAACAAAAGATATGCAACCCTAATTTAAAAGGTAAAATGTTTGAGAGAATCAGTAAGATCGTCCCAATTTTTCTGTGTAGCTTATTATAATGAAAAGGGTTGGCGGAGAACTCCTGACTTAGGGTCAAGGTAATAGCAGTTCTGTTCAATAGACATCATTTTCTTCCTTCACTTCTTTGTTTTGTTTTGTTTTTTGACACAAACGTCTTGCTATGTAGCTCAGGTTGGCCTTGAACTCACTATGTAGCGCAGGTTAGCCTCAAATTTGCAGCAATCCTCCTGCCCCAGCCTCCTGAGTGCTGGGGATTACAGGCGTGCACCACCACACTCAGCCTCTTTCTTCACTTTTGACTACCTCAGAATAGGAAACAAAACAAAACAAAAAACCTGAGCAACCATTCACATTTTATGACTTTTTTTCTTTTAAAAAGAACTACATATATGTAATATAAATGACCTGTTTCGATTCAGCTTTCCTTTGGATACCGTAACAGGTTTGTGTCTACAATTCTTACTATCTCCTACTATGTGAAAATAAAATGAAACCTTATTGTTAAATACAATTTAAATTTAACTAAGAAGTTCTATGAGGTGGGAAATTCTGCATCAGGTCTGGAGCACCTTGTCTCCAGTTGGCCCTCCTCATCTGTATTTGAATATTTAACCAACCAGACAGAAAACATTCAGAAAAAAAGGCATCTGTTCTGAATATGTATAGAATTTATTAAACGACAGTATAATAGACAGCATTTACAAGGTATTAAGTGTTAAGATGACAAAGTATCTTGAGAATATGTATACATTATGTACAAGCATAATTTTGTGTAAGGGACACAAACTTCCGCAGGTGTTGGTACCTGCAGGAGGTTTTGACCAGTGCTCCATGGACACTGAAGACTATGCAACACACGGGGCACATACTGGCAATTCCTTTCTCTTCTGGTCTGCCAGCTAATCTCTAATGTCTGTTGTGTCTCAACAAGCACATAATGGGGTTCCTTTTGTATTGCTGGTTGTTGTTAAGGTGGAGAAGACTGCCCAATCCCTTGGCTATTCTACCAAATGTCAACACGATAAAACCATCTACATCCCAAAATGGCTTCAAAATACACCTGCACAAACCAGAGCTGTTCTGTTCAAGATGTTCAACCTTTTCCTTATAACCCAAGGCCCTTGCTGAAAATTTGGTTATGTCTGAAGAGTACAAATAATATATTCCATGCTTTTGTCAATTGTATTTTTATTTGAAACCTGTACACAGAAATGTTAATACATTGCTTTGTAAATGTTTTCATGTAGACTGTTTAATTCACAAACTTTGAAGTTGTTTTTGCTCTTGCAATCAGCCTCAATTAAAACATTTCACTTTCACATTATTTCTGTATATACTTCAATGAAAGTCTAACAATTACTCATTATAGCCAATAAATCACCTCATAAACTTAAAACTAAAAATGTAAATTCCTAGGTACACTTCAGACCTGCTTCAGACTTTGGGGCACAGGACTTGGGATCCAGTAGTTATTTAAGCTTTCCCCAGTTCTCAGGCATTCAGATTCACACTAAACTTTGTCGATACTGGCTTCAATCACATAAAATCCTTTTGAAATACAGCGATACCTTGAGGAAATGCTTGGATATACAACTCTTGTGCTATGACCCGTAACTGCAGCTATAAATCTTTTTCTCCAATATTTGTAATAACACTGCGCATTTCAATACTGTATGCTGACTTAAGGCATTGCTTTAAGAAGTGCCACTCAAACTTTGAAATTTATATTTATGTGTCAGAAGTATCAGAATTGAAAACTGGAGAACGTTAAATATACATAAAAGTAGAATAATCTAATGAAATCTTATATGGCATCATGAGCCCCAACAGCCACCACTTGTAACTGTTTTGGTCCCCTTCATATCCATCCACTTTATTCATTTTGAAATTGTATTTCACTGTAAATATTTCTCAAAATGAACCATAACTGTAACAGCCTTAATACCTGTAAAACATTATAGTGAAAATTAAAATTAGTAGTAATTCCCTAGAACTATCATTGTAATTAGGTGGCAGACTGGACTGACATTCATGACCAGTAAACATTACAACATTCTGCAGTAAGTTCCTCAGTTGTGTGCAGGGAACCTCAAGCACCTAGGCTGGAAGCAAGGACCTTTTTACAAAATAGTCCTACAGAAAATTTGCTGACATTCTAACACCTAATCCATATTAATTACATTCAATCTTATCTACTGGAATGTGTACTTTTAAGAAAATCAAGTGGAATTAGATTTAGCTAACAGTTTCCAAGAGCTCTGTTAAAAAAACAGACTGGCTTCATCTCAAAGAATTTGGAAAATATGCTAAACATTTTGCTGAAGTAGAACTTTTAAAATCCTAGAAGAGAGATAATGGAATTAGGTCCACAGAACTAGCAGTTAAAATGGTATCAACAGCAAAACAAGGTATATTTGAAGGACTAAGCATTTGTAACTGGTTTAGTTTTCTGAGATAAACATTAAAAACAAAGCTTAAATACCTGACTTAAATAATACTGAGCACTACTTATTTTATATACTAGCAATTTTTAATCACTTTTAAAGAGATAGCTATGACTTTCTCCAAAAAATCAGCTGACTCATGACAACATTAAGTATGCTTTTGTTTATTTGGGAGCAAACTGTATTTCTTACGATCATGGAAGGTCATGGGGAAAATGATACACAGAAATATGTGTAAAAGTCAATATATCTGAAATCTGTTTCCTAAAGCAAGACATTTTTTACCATATTTTATTAACAGACCCCTCACTTTGACACTAAATTTCATTCTCTGGAATTGGTTATTTTGCCTGTGGTATTCTCTTTTGCCACTGGATGGTTACAGGTTAACCTACTGGTGGCGGATCTATGGCACATGTGCAGCAGTGGGCTGTTTTTATCAGTGAAAGTTCTAAAAGGTTTGCCATCATGACTCAGGCCAGTTTATGTAAGATATTGTATTCCTTCCACAAAAGTCACCATCTTCATATCATAATCATTCATATATTAATTTCTCAAAAATTTAGAGCTGTTCTATATAGGTTATTTCCATTTTCCAAATCCTTTACATTAACTTGAGATTTTAAAACTACAGATTTTTCATTAAATTATGAAGAATATTTAAGAGAGTATGAAGTTAAAAATATTTGGAAGTCACTGTTACTGAACTACCCTGTATGTGGTACCTGTAAGACACTTTTGCTGGGAATCACATGTATCAGTATTAACAATACATGATTTAAATCAAGGTCCAAAGACCTTGGATTGTTTTAAATATTTAAATAAAAGACCATCATCACAATTTAAAAAATTTTAAATACATTTTATTAACAATGTATCCCTTTGATAAGATTATGCTTCAGGAGGCTTTTAATGCCCTTGACATAAACTGTACACATTATACAAAAACAAGAAAACCACCAAAAAAAAAAAAAATCAAGGTGAACAAAAACCATTTTGGGACAAATCTTAAATTATACACAACTCAATGAAATATTCTTACGGAAAATATATAAATACTTTTTCTTTCTATGTTACAGTTATACAATATATATCCGATTTCAATATGTTCAGTGACCTACAAACACCAGAACTTCCAAATATGTAGCAGCGTATTACTAAATTAAAAAAAGAAAATCATGTGGTTAAAGAGCATTAAGTCTGAGATTTTTTTCACAACCTCTTACCACTCTTCAAAACTAATTTACATCATTTGTTTTATAATGCATCTTTAGGGTTTCTGATAGGCCAGTAATGGAACATTTTTCAACCAGCATCTATAAAATGTTTTTCACTTCCTTCTCCACCCTAAGACTTTGCCATTTTGTGCTAAATCAGCCTAGTTAAGTGACAAAAGTATAAGATATGCTTATTTTTGGCATAAATGATATTTTTCAAATTAAGTATTTTATAAAGAATGTCAAACAAAATGTGCAATTTTTGCATGCTATGGCATATTTACCACCTACATTACAAAAATACTCCAAAGGGGAAAATTACACTTTCTGTTGAGTCTTATCTACAAACCTTCTATGAGAACTACCTTGGGAGCCTGGAACTCAAAAGGCAAGGGGAGCGTGTGGGGGGAGGGAGGAATGTTCTAGAAAGATTCTTACAGATTAATGTTTCCTGATAAACACTGCTATTAATCTCACTGGTATGCTCTTAACCAAACTCTCACTACAGTAACACTCATGAAATTAAAGATGGTAACAATGTATGTATTTCGTAAATGCAGAGATAAGAAAGACCTTTCCCAATTTACATTTTGGAAAATCTGAAATGTTCATTCATTCCAAATAGTCCCTTTCTAAATCTCTCAACTAATTCTACCTTTTTTTTTGTTTTCTGTGTTTTAATGGACTGTGAATTTGAGACAAAACTGGAAGCATAGGACTAAAAGGGGGGAGGGTCCTTATTTCCAAAGAACATTTCCCAAAGTAGTTTAAAAGTTCTTCTCACACAAAATTAGCACCTCACTCTTACCATGAAAAAATAATTGAAGTTATAATTTGAATGACAAAAAATTTGGTTTTTATTGCTTAATGAGCTGTGTGCTTTAATAAGGGGATAAAAGGCATCCTCTGAATGGAATGAAATAAAATTTTATATAAGTAGCAGTAGACAAATCTAAATAAGCACTGACATCTCACTGTTGAACACTTTGCCATTGTAGCACATCCTGAAAAATTCATCCTTAATTATCTCAAGCTCTAGACAAAAGAGCTGAAAACCAATAAAGCTACCATTTCTAAAGGACTTGTACACTTTATAATAATGTATATACTTCCAACAAGCCTCTTTTAATGTCACTATCTTACAAAATGTCCTTATGTTACTAAAATTTATTAGGAAAAATTTACCTAGGGAGAGTATCCCCCTCCAATAACCTAAGCACAAACAGGAAATAAAAGTATAAGAAACTTTAGAGCATATTTAATTATGAATACTAGATTTCTAATTTCCTTATCAGTATTTACTTAGTATGTGAAGTTGACAACCATTCTTAAAAAATTCAATTAGAAATGACAATTTACAATTAGAAATTCAATTTACAACCAGCATAATAGATCAAATTTCTCCAAATTATTCAATAATTATCAATAGTACAAATTTATATGGACTAAGATTAATTCTAAAATCTTGAAAAACTATAATGAGGACATTATTTTGGTATTCTATCGTTTTAGTAGTATCTATTGTTATTTTTCTCAATTATTTCTATTACCACTGACACCATTCCTAACCTTTTCTGTATAATTTAATATTTTAAAGGATCTAAGTTAGTCACTTGGCACTGCATGTATTTTTCATAAAAGTCTACTTTTATACAAATGAGTACGCAAAGATAACATATTAGACCTGTCAGTGAAACCTTGAATAAACCAAATAGCACTATAAATTTGACTATAGACATTCTTTTTCTTAGCATACTGAAAATCACAAAGCTCTGAGTGTCTTCACAAAGTAAGTGCTCTTAAGTGGGTATCATGACACACACATACATGTCTTTCAAAAGTAACAGTGAGGAAAAAGAACTGTTCAGGCTATTACTATAGCCTTAATTTCAGGATGGATAACTTAGGTGGAGTATAGGGATGAAGATCATTGTGTACATGTATGTGACAAAAAGATAATTTCTGTTAACTTTTGAAGGATTAAACCACAGATTTTATACTGTATATTAACTGAGGTAGTGTTTAAGATGAATGTCTAAAATATGTTAATCCTATTCTGAGTAAGATTACTACATTACTTCCTTTGAAGTTTTTAACCACTATTTGGTCTAATATTTCTGACATTTGGTTCTCTGGAAAGGCAGTTTAATTGTCCAAGACCAAAGACCAAGGTGACAGGCAACATTCTTAGAAGCATTGTTAACATTTAAATAAACACTTGGGTTCAGTGGTAAAGTTAAAAAAATTATTTGTTTTACCTTCATTGAATCTCATGAGAAAAAAATCTGAAGACCCCTTTGTAACATAAGCAGCAGCTTACAGCCCTTATCTGCTTTGTTGCAATGTAAGTTGCTACACAGTGCACATAAGAACAATTCACTGAAGTGCAGTCAAAGAGGTGGTAGGAAATGAGATGAAATGTTTCATCCCAAACTTTCATCCTAAACTTTCAGTGCCAGTTTAAAAAAAAAAATTATCTCTGTGAGTTATGTTTTCTAGATCACAGGGCTCTTTACAGAGATTTCAAAGTACAAGCTCATTCATTACAAAATAGGATCTGCAGCATGGAAAAATATAACATTAACCAATGGTCTATGACTGTGTCAAAGCTGATGTATAATTGTAAAAATGGTCTACACAAATGAATTTAAAAACAGTCCTAATCAGTCCAGCTGGAATTTTTTCTATTTCCATTTACATGTAGATTTCAAAAAAAGATAACCCTATGATTTACAGGCATTCTAATGATGATGGCCATGCTATTCTTATATACAAATTTGCATATATGTTTGATTCCTGTCAAGATTTCCAAATATCTTTATATACAAACAAAATCTTGCCCTCATCAACTTAACTTCACAAATATGATAAAGGCAATTATTGTACTCTTAAACTGACCTATCACTGCATTCATTTAGTTTGTGTAAAACAAGAACAATGATATAAAAATTAAATCACTGCTTTAAAATTTAGTACTTAAGGCTTTTCACTACTATTTCTAATCTTAATAACAAGTTTCATCAATGATTTTCTTTTAAAGGAAATATGGCTCTTCTTTTCCCATGGAATGTGTAAATTTCAGACAAACATCTTTTTCCTCAGGAGATCCAAAATATTAATGCTTTCCTTTGTTTTGGGTGTGACATAATAGTGCTTGTTCATGTTCCTGTTTAAAATGATAAGGGAAGCTGGTGAATATGGACGTCCAATGGAACTTCTATAAATGGGAAACGGTACAAATGGCAAACATTTTTAATTGAACTATAAAATGATTTCAGTTCAATTAGGAACCGTAGTGAAAAACCTTAATTCAAACAGCCTAAGAACACACTGCAACAGAACGGAAAAGATGGAAAACAAGTAAGAATCTTTATGCAGTCTAAAAACATAAAAATAATTTATAAGTCCCAGGTTGTTGAGGCTCTTCTTTTGCTTTGAGGTTACCCACCTCTGAAGTAGTGTTACAAACATTAAGAAAACGTGGAAGGGTCAAAGTTCCCTCTCTAATACCAACGGTCACAGTACACCCTACTGTAGTAACAGGATGCAGCCTTAAGGACACTAATTCTTGGTTTCCCCGAATTAGTTAACAAACAAGATATTTACTGACCCTTAAAAAAGAAAATCAAAAATAACTGTGAAGGGTACTTCTGCATATCCTATTATTGTTCCACTGTTATTATGCTTTTAAAATGAAAAAACAGAAAACCTATGAAGGTATTCAGTGCTTGGCTCTTGTATTCGATGGTAACTGAGACTCTTAAAATTGTGATGAAATAGGAACCCTCCAAAGGGCTCAATGGTAAGAGAAGGAAGTTGTTTTGGTTAGGGAAGTCAGCAGTTCCAACTGTTCATGTACCAATAATTGCCGGAACAGTGTGCAGAAGATACTTCTGTCTTTGCTGCCCAGTCAGTCAGTATTTTCTGAAGCTTTCAGAAAATCCACAAATATGAATATATATAGTATTTATCTATATACATCATAAATATGAGGTCAGGATTCAGCAGATGTATCAACTATAGGTTGCTTTGGTGGTACTGCCAACACAGCCTCTGCTTCTTCATGCATCTAGGAAAAGAGTGGTAAATATTTAATGACTTATAAAAAACAGCAAATGTTTAATCTTTCCTTTAGCTTAATCCAAACAATTATTTTTGAAAAACAAATTTTACAAATAACAAATCTTACTTACTTGTAAAAACTGTACATCTTGAAATAATTCTTGTATGAACCTCCGACATGGAAGTCTAAATGTGCAGTGTGACAACAAATGAGAAACCTCAGAGTAAAGGCATATATCATCAAATGTTTGAGGATACTTCTCCTTGATTCTAAAATGAAACAATGTAATAAAAACTGCCATCATGTTTTATATTTCTTCCAAAGTATCATTTACTTTTAAATACTTTTGTTCTTCAGATACTGATTAGATGGTATATTTGGGGTGATGCTTAAGAATATATACTTTATTCCCATCTCACATTGAAATGAGACATGCTGAGTTTTAGGTATTTTTTAGTATATGTGCTGCCAAAGCAAGCACAGTTTTAGGTATTTTTTAAAGACTGCCAAAACTCAAATGCTTCTTGTAAAGTTAGAAATATTTTCATTAGCCTGAGAAAGTATAAAATTTATCAGACTAGAACTCAAATATCTGTAAAATTAAGCTTTGTAATAGAAATATGTCTTTTGTGAGACTTCAGTTACTTTGACTGGACTTGACACTTTAAATTGGCTTTTAGTTAGAAGAGCTCCTCAGAATGTGAAGTATACATAGGAGAAAGTCCACTCCTACTGCTCGCAGCCCAGAGGTCTGCATTGAGATTCTGGTGCCCACATGTTCTTTTAAAAAGTCCTACAGGAGAGAGACACTGAGCTTCATTTCTTGGGGAAATCAACTACATCAGAGTCCATTTGAATTTCTTTTCATGCTGTTGTGATTTAGAAAATAATAAAAATTCTGCCACTTTCACTGAGAAAAAAAGAAAAATATTAAATCAAGAAATTATTACTTTTTTATGGAGGTCTACATTTCTTAAGGTTTTTGGTTTTAGGACTTACCTTTAAAAAATTTCGAGGACCACTAAAACATATTTTTTGCGTGTATGGACTACAGCTGTCAATAATTACCATGTCAGGAAGTGTTTCAAAATATTTATTAGTTCATTTAAAAAATGAAGATCTTATATGTTAACATAAATATAAAATTTAAAAACCTAAATTTTAAAAAATCTAAACAAAACTGAAAAGTGGGATTGTTTTGGGGTACATTTTGCCATTTTTGTGGGGTTTTTTTGCGGGGTGGTCGAACTCAGAACCTTGCGTTTGCAAGGCAGGCAGTGGCACCATTGAGCTAAATCCCCGGCCCGAAGCTTTGCATTTTCGCATCTCTTGTAGAGTATGGCTTAAAAATGATACCTGGATTCTCGTACTTGCTTTTGTATTCAACCTGCTGCGACATGTGATTTAGACTGATATATGTATAAGAAAATCCAACCTGTCAGATACACAAAGAACTACTGATTTTAATCTAACTTTTTAAGTATTTCAAGTATCTTTTCGTATCTTAAAAGCAAAATAACATTCATGCACATAATTTACTCACGTTAAAAGTCCAGTTTCATGACATTTTGTTGAAACTGAACTACTCAAATTAATGACTAATCTTAGAACTTCTTTGCGAAGGAGTATACGGCACATTGGTGTATCATCTGGAATTGTTTTAACACCTGAAAGGTAGATTTCAGTATGAAGTTATTTTACCTTATTGCAATGTAAAATGATTTGTCATGACTTTGTTTTTAAACTTTATCTAAACATCTAAAACTGCAACCAACTACACATGATCTTCTAATCATCTGAGACTAAAACTTTAATAAAAGCAAACAGCTATGGGGTACATGTGAGTGGCACATACAGATTCAATATTTAAGTCTGCTACACTGCTTCACTAAAACTAACCTGCCATAATTTTGAGACAACTTTATACTATTTATGAAAAATAAAGCCAAGTAACTATAATTTTATTAATAATACTTGGAATTGAATCCAAAAACTCACCTAATAACAGTTCTGTGCTCTTGGTGCTGCTAGCTGAGCCTTCTTGAGATACACCATCACTGCATCCAGAAATCCCAGAAAACTTAGAAGGAACCACTTCTAAGGGATTGTGGATAGTCTGTTCACACCAATCAGAATATGTTATATCTTGAAGGTCTAGAGAAAAAAATATGTCAATGAAAGAATCATAATGGCTTAATTTCTCTCCTACACTGCATACTCTAAAACAGATGACTCTTTGTAATTTATTTTGTTTTCAATAACTACTTCCTATGATAAAGATTTCTAAAGTAAATTTAGACTGCACAGATAGCAAATGCTCAGAGAGAGAAATCCCTTAAATTCTACAGACATTTATACGTAAGATTCATATTTACTATACTACTCGGGCACTACTAAGTTAACTACAGGTGGAAAACCAAATAGCTTAGTGCAAATATTGTTTTGATTTTACACTTTCCTGGATACTTATATGGAATGATTAGAATAAAGGGAAATTAGGAAATCTTTAGTTATCCTTTTAGGTAGCAACACCTAGAAATCTGTAACTGCTGAAATTTAGTTAAGACTTTTATCTTACAAAAGAAAACTGATTGAGACAGAGAAGGCACGTGCTCGGCTATAAGGTTAAGAACTTTTGAGAGGTAGTCCAGTTACCATTCCTCGACAATACTGTATTTGTCAGAGTAGCAGGAAAGGGCTACCACCTCTCCTTCTCATTTCCACAAGATAGACTTATCACTGTCTCAACTCCAAGTACTCCTTAAGATTACTATTCAATACTCAGAGACACTATTTAATACTGAAAAGAAAATGCTTCAGTTCCTTGGGAGAAAGATATCTCTAAATTTAATACTGTTTTAAAAATTGGGTTATGAATGAAATATGTGTATGTCATTCAAATAACTGAAACATGCTACAAAAACTATATATCCATTTAAAAATAACTATTGGGAAAATACGGTAAGAATTAACGATGTATCTAAAAACAGCCTTTCCATGTAGCATTCCTTGGTAACAATGAATCCTTCACAAGATATAAATACATTTATCACACTCCTGGCAAAACTAACAGAAAAGGCCAGGGATTTAGCTCAGTAGCACTGCACCTGCCTGGCAAGCGCAAGGTCCTGAGTTCGAGACTGGTACCAAAAAAAAAACCTAACAGAAAAGTTTTTATTTACTCAGTTGACATATTTCTAAACTTGCTGGAATAGTATCCTATTTGCTCATTCTCATCTTCAAAAAAATTAATTTTTGAAGGAAAGGTTTAAAAGTTCATTTATCTCCTCTGAAGATGTGAAGTATCTTTTGTGTAATAACAGAAAGTTCTTGCTACATCTGGCATCTCTGGTGCTTAATACAAGAATAACATTTCAAATGAAATAATTACATGCATTAAATGGGAACTTCAGAGAAAATGTGGGCAGAATATGGGTACTATTTACAAACTGGCAAGACAAAGAGAACTAAAACTTTGGAACTGTTGAAATGAACACAGATGGAAGGCAAAATTGTGCATAGTAGACTGGGAATAATTTATCGTCAGGGACCTGTATTTCATAAAGCCTTAGATGTTTTATTTCAAGATTATTTTTAATTTGGATAAAACATTTTGTGCAGACACTGAGTGGATTAATCTAAAAGGCTGATGTTTAGCTTCTTAACTAGAGCAGTTTGCTTTGCTTCTCTTTACCTAATACTCTAGAGCTTAGTTCTCTCCTTTAATTAAAAATAAAGAAAGCAGCATAACAGGTCATACCCTGAACAAAACACAGTGGCTGCTTTCTTTATTCCAAGTAGCTCAGCATAAAGGTGGCTTTAGTTAAATGCCATCATATGTGGGAAAGGATAAACAGTTTAAACAAAACAAAATAAAACAAATATACAACAGAAAAAATATAAGCTAATTTTTTTTCATACCAGAACACTGTAACAAAATGCTGAGATTTCTGAAAAAAATTTAAAATATTTGTAAGGAGCTCTATCTTGATATTTTGTAATCAACTACATTAGCAGCAGATGATATAAAAGAAAGTAAGCAAGATTTTCTTTTGGAATACAGTAGTATCACCAAAATTGAACTATCAGAATTTAGGAGAGAAAATTATTTCTAATATAAACAATTCACTATGTGAGTTACTATTTCCTGAGTACTTATTGAATGCCAATCTCACATTACAAAACACCAAAATAACACCAAAACGTGTACTCCCACTTTTAAGTCCTCCCAGACTTAACCAAAAATAAAAGCTACAGCTCAATGAGATGAGGCAGACTGCTCAAGATGAAATAACTCAGTGGAACAGCCGGGCTCTGAACCCAAGTCTGCTTGATGTCAAAATTCACTGCTCTGCCACTCACACCTACCTGTGGTCTTCAGTGTTTGCTAAATGACTAGCATTTTGAGGCCTCCTGAGAAATCAACACTTGGGCAAAGAGAAGGCCAGGTGGATGGGTTCCATCTCATCTTTCCCCTAAAGTTCTCATTTGTGTGCACTACTGGTCTTTTTACGGATTTTAACTGAAACATTTAATCTACAGCCAAAATTCTTCAAAACACTAAAAATAAGCCTGGCATGGTGGCATAGGCCTATAATCCCAGCACTCAGGAGGCTCAGGTACAAGGATCGCTGTGAGTTCAAGACCAGACTGAGCTACACAGTGAGATCCAGGGCAGTCTGAACTACATAGTGAGACCCTATCTCAAAAAACAAAACAAAACAACAACAAAAAAACCTGGAACGACAACAAAAAACTAAAATAGACATTCCATTTGATCCAACGATTCACCTTCTAGATTTCTTCATGAAAGTTAGAGACATATTACAGTGATATATGCATACCAATATTTATATCAGCACAATTCACAGCGGCTTAATCTTAGAAATGGCCTATATGGACAGTAACTGATGAATCGATACAGAAAATGTGGTATTTACCGACAATGGAATACCACTGTCATAAAGGAAGATAACCTTGAAGTATTTGTAGAAAAATAGATGTACCTTGAGATTATATTGTTAAGTGAAATAAATCAGACCCACAAGCTTAAATACTGTATAGGAAACAGGAAGATAATAGTCAACAGGAAGATAAATCTTTCTCACGTGGAAAGGGGATGAAGAGTTACAGGAAAGAGGGAGAGAGGGAAGAGGAAATGGATGATACAAAAATTAAAGATGTGTTATATACATGTACCAACTCCATACCAGGAATATAATCATTATGTACTACAAACATGTACTAATAAAAAATTTAAAATGGGAAAAATTTAATCAGAGAAAAAATAAAATGTATTACTAATTATCTTAGTTCTTTTATGAGCTTTAACATTTTAATTACTTTTTAAAATGATATATAACTGCATGTATTTATATACATTGCATAATGTTTTTATCAGGGCAAAAAACTATTTCCTTAAGCATTTATCATTTCTCTATGGAGAAAACATCCAAAATCCTTTCTTCTAGCTTTTGAAGATACATAGCTCATTACTGTTATATTATTACTCCATTGTTCAACAGAACAGCAGAACTTATTTTCCTAACTAGAACTTAGTACCCTGTGATCAACTTTAACACGTCCCTTCTTCCTCTTCTCATCCCAGCCTTTGGTAGCCACTATTTTACTCTCAATTACTCTAAGAGCAACCCCTTTGGATCCAATGAGTGAGATCATACAGTATTTATCTTTCTTTATCCGGCTTATTTCACTTAATATAATGACCTCTAGTCTATCCATAATGTTATTGCAAATAACAGAATGTTATCCTTTTCATGGCTGAATTGTGTTCCATTGTGTATAAGTACCACATTTTCCTTTTCCAATTACCAGCTGGTTTTTTGAGACAGGGTCTCACTATGTAGTTGAGACTGACCTGGAACTCACTATGTAGCCCAGGCTGGTCTTGAACTCACAGTGATCCTCCTGCCTCAGCCTCCCGAGTGCTGGGATTACAGGCATGCACCACCACGCCTGGCTCTAATTCTTGGCTACTGTGAACAGTGCTGAGATTCACATGGAATTCAGATGTCTTTTTAACATACTGATTCCATTTCCATATACTCAGCAATGGTACAGCTAGATCATGTGGGTAGTTCTACTTTAATTTTTTGAGAAACCTCCACACTGTTTTCACAATGATTATACTACTTAATTTACAATCCCACATATGGTGTAAGGGTTCCCTTTTCTCCACATTCTCAATAGCATTTGTTATCCCTGGTCATTTTGATAATGGTCATTCTAACCAATGTGAGTTGGCAGTTCATTTGGTTTATAGCTGGTCATTTTTATATCTTCATTTGGGAAACGCTTACTTAAATCCTTCAGAGCACTGAAGCATTTTCTGTTTTCTTCTGGTAGTTTCAGTTCTTATATTGTGAACTGACTTTTTTAACTGGTAAGAGATAGAAGTCAGTTTCTTTTTTTTGGTACTGGGGATTGAACTTGGGTCCTTGCATTTGTGAGGCAGGTGGCGGAACCACTGAGCTAAATCCCCGTCCCTCATTCTCTTGCATATTCAAATCCAACTTCGCCATACCATTTACTGAAGAGGCCTGTCAGCCTCTGTCAAATATCAAATACTGCATAAGCATAGGCTCTACTTCTAGGTACTTCATTCTGTTCCAATGGTCTATATGCCTGTTTTTCTGTCAACACCATTCTTTTTTGAATACTACAGCTTTGTAGTAGATTTTAAAATCAAGAAATTTTGATTCCTCCATTTTTTTGTATTTTCATATGAATTTTAGGATGGTTTTTCCTAGTTCTGTGCAGAATGTTCGTTATTTTGGAAGAAACAGCACTGACTGTAGATCACTCTGGGTAATATGAACATTTTTATAATACTGCCTTTTCCAACACAAACATGGAATGCTTTTCCTTTTCTGTGTGAACTCAATTTCTTTCACTGTTTTATAGTTTTGATTGTAGAAATAATCTCTAAGATTAAATTTATTATTAGAGTCTGATGTCATTTTGGCAATTTATAAATGAGGTTGATTTCTTAATTTCTTTTTGCATAATAATCACTATTGGTGGAGAGAAGCACCAGTGATTTTTATATGTTGATTTTGTATCCTGCAACTCTGCTGAATTCATTTATTAGTTTGAGTAGCTTTTTATACATGTAAGATCATGTTATCTGTAAACAGTGATACTCTGACTTCTTTTTCAATGTGGATGCCCTTTGTTTCTTCCCATTGCCTGACTGCTCTGCCAGGATGGAGCTTTATCATGTTTTTACCTACTAGCACTACCAGATTTGAAATTGTGAAGAATGACATCTCCTCTGTTCAGGAACTGACATCCCTTTAAAATAATCACTATAGTAAAGAATTAGTTTTTAATCTGTCACAGATAATAAAGACATCTTTTTCTCACACAAAATCCTTATTATGACCTATTACAGTCCACTCAAACTTTAGTATGCATATCAAGTTGACAGTACTGTGAAAATGCAGACTGTTTCTGTAAATATGACAAGCTTCAGATTCTGCACCTCTCACATTCCTCAAGGCAGCAATGATATTGCTAATCCACTGTCTACACTTTGTATAGCAAGGACTCTACTAGGATTGGTCTCTACCTACCTATCTTCCTGTAACTGTATCTCCTTTTCCTTTGTCTTTTAAGGTCTGTTCACATAGGTGTATTTTGCTTCTGTCACAGAACTGTTGTTCATGCTGTTTTCACTGTCTAAAGTGTGCTTTATTCCAGTCTTAGCTTCTGTTCATTCTTTAGATCACAGATCAGTAGTAATTTTTTCAGAAATCTCTCCCTTAATCTATTTAGTTCTATTATTTGGCTAGTCTCATCTACTTAGTGGTACTTGTTACAAATCCAGCATTCATCCATCTATCTCAGCACTCATCCATCCTCTATCCATCTGTTTCTTTCCGCACTAGCCAAAGCTCAAAATAAATAGCTTTTCTACTGTGTGCAATTTGTCTAATACTTTTTCAAATAATGGAAAATAACTATAAATAAATAATAACACAACATACATAATCATATGCAGAAATGCATGTCAGTGCCCTCAACAAAGCTATTTATGGTATGAAGTGCCTAGTCCACTGATCTGTCAAACCCACAGAACCATTAGCGGACCAAAATCTCAGCATAATTTTATCCTCTCTGTAACTCCTGTGTTTCAATCCATCAACTGGGAAGCACTGAATTATCAAAGAGAAATTTGAAAAGTGAAGCAAAGAATTATGGTCATCACTAGGTTGTACTGAGGTTAGCTAAGTGATTTTCACTTCCCTAAGCATTTGAAACTACTAAATATGGTGGTATCTCAGTTCACAAACTTAATTTAATTTACAATTTTGGGGAAGATGGCCACAGTGGGTTTGTCACCCGCTGCAGAGTTTGTCAATGGAAGCAAAATGTTTTTGGAGAACTGAACTGTTTGTGAACAGAAACATTTGTGAACCAAGGTACTATTCATTTTTGGAAAAAAAAAAAAAACACCTCAATCTGGGTCCACTTTATTTATTTGCTAAATACAGACTGAGAGTCTATACTGTAAAAACTAGCACAAAGTTTGGTATTAGAAATATAAAAATGAGAAATGACAGATCATGCCCTAAAGGAATTACTGAAGGGGAAAAAATAACCAAGTAATAATAACTATCATTATCATAAGAGATTTATGCACAAAGGCAATGAAAGCAGAGGAAAGATAAACAACACCTGACTCAGAGTCAGAAAATATTGCAGACAAAATACTGTTAACACTTAGGATAAGATGGACCTACCAGATGGACCATGTATATCTGTGTATGAACCTGCATCTTTTGAGAGAAAAGGGAGAGATAAAGAGCAGCAGGAAAAACATAGTTTTCATGCCCAGAAGTTGTTTAAAACTTCAGGTCATTCAGTAATAGTATGAGAGGAGACTGATTAAAAAACAAAAAAAAAAACCAAAAACTACTAGACAGATGATCACAAAAAGTCTTGTACGTTGGGCATGAAAAACCAGTATGGAATAAACATGTTAATCCTAGGCAATACTGTGAAAAATGAATTGGAAGGTAGTAAAATTAGAGGCTGCAATACTAATGCTTCAACAGGGAGATGCTTAATGAGCAGTAAAATTAGAGGCTGAAATACTAATGCTTCAACAGTGAGATGCTTAATGATATGAACCAAAGTATGAAGTGGTGACAATAGAATAAAAGGGAGTAATCAACAGGGGTGGCAGATGACTTTTCAGAGAACAGATTCAAATTTAGATGGATTAATCTCAAAGAACATATCACTCACCTGAATGACTACATATTGCACTTAGTTGGTTACTAGGCTGGAAACCCAGAATTTCAATACAAACACAATAAAGGCAGTTATCATCGGTATGCTCCTGTAATCCAGTGTCTTCTGTACTTTCTAAAAATAAAGAAGCATCTGAATGGATTGAATTCATTATTTCAGTAAGACTCATCTGCTGTCGTAGCAAGTGAAAAGAGTTTTTAACAAGACCTCCAGTTCCAGATGGAAGACCTGTGCATAAGTAAATATAAAACATAATCCAATAAATACTGTATCAATAGACACCTCCTCCAAGGTGTATTAAACTATAAAATTTTAAAGAAAGGAATCTATAGAAGCAAACCAGACCTTTTTTATGACTTAATATCTAACAAGGAAGGAAAAAAAATTTGCTTGAAATTATGAAACTAACTGAAGCCTACAAGTATTTTTATTACTTTAATATGGAATTTCAAACACAAAATTTTAAAATGAAATTATAATTAATATATTATTTCAACTACCCTTAATATTTGCCTAAAGTAACAAGGTGTTATGGTACATGCCTGTAATCCTAGAATTTAGGAAGCTGAAGCAAGAGGATCACTCAGTTCAGGCCCAGCCTGGACTACATAGTAAATTCAAGGGAGATACTGTCTCAAAAAACTTTGGCCTAAAGAAAAACAATAATTCTAAGTATAAGGAGGTAGTTGTTTACAAAAAATTCAGATTATGAAACTAAAACCCGTGGCTCATGCATGTAATCATTAAAGCATAATAGTTTATAATAAAGACCATGTAATTTATAGGGACATTTTTGTATCTCTTCTCACATTGAAACAACTGTTCATGGACCTATGAGGCCAAGTGTAATAAATTTTTCATGGACTACCTTTATAGAAAAAGAAACTACTAATCTGATTTTTATCTTCTTCAAAGACTGAGTACTTGTCTGAAAAAACACTTTAAAGCCTTAAAAGAAATGTGGTGGGGGTGAGAAGAGGGGAAGGAAAAGTAAAAAAAATTACTCCAACTGGGGCAACCACTGTGGAAATCAATATGGAGACACCTCAAACAACTAGGATTAGAGGTTCCATTTGACCCAACCATTCCTCTGCTAGGTATCTTTCCAAAAGAATTAAAAGAATCATACTACAGTGATATATGCACACCCAAGTTTATAATGGCACAGTTCGTAATAGCTAAAACTTGGAAACAGCCCATTTGCCTATTAGTTGGAGACTGGATAAAGAAGATGTGGTTTTTCTATAAAACGGAATACTACTCAGCCATAAGGAATGAGAAATTAGAGTCATTCATAGGAAAATGGATGCATATTGAGGTTATGCTCTTAAGTGACATAAATAAGTCACACATGTAAATACTGAATAGTTTCTCTGGTGTGAAAAATTATAATTGTAAGAGCCTAATGGTATAATTGACAAGGTGTAATAGAAAGAAAAGGGCTAAAGGTGGAGGGGAAGTGGGAAGGGTAGGGGAAAGAAAATATGGGGAAAGAAAAAACATAGGAGAAATTGAAAAAAATGGAAATAAGGTTTCTGTAAATAGGGAAGGGAGGAGGGGGTGAAGGGAGGGCAGGGGCAAGGGGAAAAAATGAGAACCAAGACCTGTCATGTAAAGGTACAAGATCCCAATGATGAATGTAACTGTACTGTATACCTAGAATATACCAATAAACTCAATGAGGAAAAAAAAGATGTGGTACTGCAAATGTGTACAGTAATAAAAATTTATAACTTAGGGAAAAAAAGATATTATGGTTTAATTTTAAGTTCACTGTTATTTTGGGTAACTTTTAAATTAACCCAAAAGTGGCTATATCTGAATTGTTAGTACCAACCTATCAAAAAGAAGAATTTTATTTTTTTAATATAAAGAGGAGTCTCATCAGAACAAAGACCATGTATTACCTCCTGTATCATGGGCAAATACTCTTGTACTTCGATCATCTTGTGGAGCTATGTCTTTTGTCTGAAAATAAGGAATATCCTTTACCTAAAATAGATATAAATCACGATAAGTCATGTTACAAAAAGAAGTCTACTTTATGAATATTAAGAACATAAAATGAAAAATAATTGAAATAGAATTACTATTGCATATGAGCCTACAATCAAAATTTTACTAAAGTTTAAATTACCAAACTTAAGAAAATAACAACACAAAATCTTTTATTGTATTTTTGGTAACCTAAATATTCAAGTAACTATTTTAGCATTCATCTAAAATGTCTTTAGATTGCTGAGTAAATGTGTATCCTTTACTACTACTATACATCTAGAGATCTGAAGGTGTCTCATGGAACTGACACCACTTTATACAAGTGGACATCACCTAGGGCATGTAAGATGGGAAAAACAGAATAAAAAACAACAAATAAGTCACATGGAACTACAAAACAAGGCAGGGAATCTACTAAATTTCTAGAGAATATAGCAATTAACCAAACAAACAGATAACTGGTTAAGGGAAGAGAGCATATAATGTTCTTGAAATCTGCAGGTACTAAGTATAGAATATTTGATAAAGTTAAGTTTTCACCTTAAAAATTTTAGACAAAACTGCCTCAAATAAATTCATCTTCTCCACAGTTAGTGCCCTCTGTAGAATGTAATTTCTAGTAGACAGTAACAGAATATAAAAAAGGAAAGAACTGATACCTGGAATATATCATTGATGTCTACAGGAAGAGCAAGGCCAATGTAGTCATCTGAGCCACCATATGTAGCACTGGACACCATTGACCTAACTGAGGAGGATCTGTGCAGGGTATTTTGATTAATGGGGCTCAACAAATCTTCTTTATCTAATGATGCGTAACTTAAAGCTTTCATGAACCTATAATACCACAATAAAACTTGCATTAGTTTCCTGATTTGTAATATTAACCATATAAAAAAAAAAACTTACACTCTCATCTTCAGAAAAGTAACTAGTGAAATGCTTAGCTGCGTCTTATTAACTGGGAATATATAAACAATTTAAAACATAAGCTGCTATAGAATGATATACATTAAAAAGGTTACCAGTAATATTGACTGCTACCAAAATCAACTGGTATGATCTCTCAGGTAAAGTTTTAATAATAGGCAATTATAGTAAACATCTATAAGTAAAGAAACCAACCTAGACAGAGGTACAGTTTGAGAATTATCTTTACACTGATAAGGATATGTCTATTAACACAATTTAATACATTTATGAAAAATAAGATCAATTTCTTATTTTTTGTGGTAATAAATGCTTTCATTATCAATATAACATTTATGTAACACAGAAGGCATACATAATATAGTAAAATGATATAATTTGCATTATAAGAGATAGCCTTATATATATGTAGCACTGATGTCTAGTATTTCTACAGGTCATTACATTCTGTAACAAATACAGTACACTGACATTTTGTCATAAATATTTTTATTGATGCAATAGATATGTGAAACACTTAATTGGTATCTGCTTTATATATATAAAGCTCCATCCAAAGTTCACATCTCTCTGGACGTGAGTGAGACAGACAGATAGGCTGCCAAAAAATACATATACAGACTCAAGCAGTTCACCTTACTAATATGTGTCTGGCAGCTAATGACCACAACTTTGAGTAGCTTCTAATTGTACAGGACAAAGGCAGCTTGTATTAATCTCATGTTGTCTCAATAAATTTATATTAAAGTATTTATACAAGTTTTTCTTTTCCTGATGTATTCATGTTTTTGGCAGTGTGTCTGTATACATATACTACTGAAAACTATTTCACAAACTAAAATAAATGTTTCAATGACAGCAGCTATTAAGATTAACAAAGCAAAAAAAAAAAAAATTCCTAATTTCCACCAAAACCCATTCCTAACTGAAATCTATCAATTTCATAAGAGACCAGAAGCTTTCAAAGTGCACTGTTATACTTCTCTGGCTCCATGAACTCATCAAGGGTTATTGAGCAGAGGGAAAGAATTACCGGGTTATTCTCTTTCCCAATTCCTATTTTAACCACTGTAGCTCCATTTTTCTGTACTCTACACATTAAGTTTTCATAGAAATCTTTTTGTGAAAGTTTCTCCCTTTAAAAGCAACTATATAAAAGCTTAAAATCACTTATCTAGTTCAGTCTCTACTAGATGAGGAAAGTGAAGCCCAGAAATTCAAAGTTCATAAATTCATAACCATGAGCTGTTGAGAGCTATACCTAGCTTTTGCTCTAGGATGAGATTATCAAAGCTAGTGAGTTCCAGTTAAGTAAGATATTACACAATTTATTAAATTCTACAAGAGGGGTTAAAATCCATTATCTGTTATCAGCAATCCCTCTATTAAAAGGGTCAATAAAACAAGACTATTTAATGTTATTATGAGTTTAACATGAGACAAGCTAATGTTGAATCTTATTATATACCACAGTACTCTAAGTAGTTGACATATGATAATCCATTTAAATAGATATGAGAGAATAATTTAAATAAAGTTCTGGCCCAACAACAAAAACATGGGTATTGAAATTTCTGCAATAATTAAATTTAATACTGTATCCCATTTAAAGATAAAGCCTTATTTTTTACTGTGAACAGTTTGATATAATTAAATATGGGAATTCCTACTGAGTTTTGGAGAACAGTTAGTCCATTTAGTGTTTATTTGGTTCCTATATAATTAGATATACTTAAACTGGAAATAATTTAACTGAAATTTTCAGTTATTACAAAAATAATAATAATAAAAAAAGGTCAACTTTTGGAGCCTTAAATTGACCTACCTGAAAAGGTTGTTTGTTATTGTAGGTCTTAAGCTCCTGATCCCCCCGACATACTTCTTTTTAAAATCGATCCTTGCAGAAGCGAGAAATAAATAAAAAAAGCTTGTGACTTGTATATTCTTGAAAAGCATGTATGTTTATTTTCAGGATCTAATGGAGTTTTGCTTTCCCCCCTCGCAGCTGCAAGAATCCATTTCAAATCATATCGGGTAACAAGGAGCTTATAACCTTACTTACTCTAATAAACAATTATTAATAGGTGTTCTGAGGCTTATTTAGTGTTAAACCTGACCTACATTTGAAAATTAAAATAAAACCATTATTTTTATTTTTAAATATACATTTGCTCACCTGCTTGGTGTTAATCTGGACTCAAAACTATTGGCCTTCATGGTGATGGTATCAGTAAACAGCACATCTTTTGCTGGTGATGCCAGAGCTTCAGAGTGAGATAAGGATGGATGCATTCTTTGCTGCTGCAATCTTTTCAATGTAGCATAGCCAAAGGCATCTCTAGAACTTGTGTAACTAAAGTTACAATCTGCTAGACTTTTAATTGTAGCAATAGAGGGTGCTTTAAGAGACTGTGCTCTTCTAGGAAGTGTGTGAGAAGAACCAGGAGGTACCAGGGACACTGAATTTGATTTGGAGAGAGACAGATGGTTAGACTGTGGTGTCAAATAGTGGCTTGTCTTAACAGTTTTAGTACTTACCACAGTACTCATACTTCCACAGTCTGTGTCCATAGTTGTAGCATCTACACCTACTGTCTCTCGTGAAGGACTTGAGCTCATTGAACTTATGCCACTTGTTGTAGTGTCTGTATTAAAACTTTGGCTACGTATCTTTATATGTGAACTTGTGGAACTTTCTACAACTAACCTTTCTCGGCTTGTGTTTTCTCTGTGATTCTCTATACCAAAATTTTTGGTGAATTTTAAGTCATTCTCTCCAATACTTGGGGTACTACCGGTGTCTTCAATGTGCTTATTCCCAACAAATGAAGTTTCTAATTGTAATGTTTTCTGTACTGTGGATATAGGTGCGAAATCATCACTATGATTAAAGTCCACACTGGGCTCCGTAAGTGTTCTAATTCGCCTGTTGCTTGTCTTATTTTCAGATGACAGTTTTCCTCCTTTTGGATCACTGCTGCTACGATGTTTTTTATTAGGCAAAGTAAGTGAATTTAAGATGCGATTCTTCACAAGTTTACTAGAAGCAAAGAAAGGAAATGAATTTTTATCCTTTATAGGTCCAGGTCGATCAAAAAATGAAGGCTCTGCATCTTCATTGATATCAAGGAAAAATGTACTAGTTGAGCTGCTGCCAAACCGGTCATCCTCCATTATGAACATACCTGTAAATAAAGGGTCATTAATTAAAGTATATAAAAAATGAAAAATTCATGACAACTATTAGTGACATCACATTTTAGGAAAATTTTTTTAAATTTTAAACAATCATCTGGGGGATAACAATTTAAAAAGACCAAGCCACTGAGCTATATAAAAACCACTTCCTTGATACCTAGAGTTTATATTTGAATAAAATGTAAAATGATGTCATTATGAAGGTATCTAATTTCCTAAGAAAAATTATTGACATATCATAGGATAGCCTACATGAAGTTTCTTTTGATTTTTTCAAATATTTGGGATGAAATTAAAGAAAAGGAGATTTGAGCATAGATGCTCATTTAGTTCGTACAGATTACTTTACATAGTGATAGAAAAAATTAATCTTTTAAGATGCGATTTCCCAAATTATAAAATATATAACTGGCCCTTTGTATTTGTGGGTTCTGACAATATGGACAAACTACCTGTGGGTCAAAAATATTCAGGAAAAAAAAGTAATTATACTAAATATACACACATTTTTCTGTCATTATTCCTTAAATATGAATATCATTAAACAGTATAACACTTATTTAAATAATTATTTTGCATTAGGTATAAATAATGTAAAATATGGTATAAAAAACCACAAGAAGGTATGAGTAGGTTATATGCAGAAACAGTATCCTTTTATATAGGGACTTGAGCATCTATAGATTTCAGTATCTACAAGGAAGGGGTGCTAGATCCCCAGATATGGAGGAATGACTATATTTACAGAGAACCAAGTCACAACCCATTTAAAATAATTATGTTTACATTCCATTTTGCTTCAAGTACTAGGAAACTCATTTGCCCAACTCTAATAACTCAGCCTCAGTGTTTAATGACATCTATGCAATTTTAAGTTTTATGTTGAATAATTATAAACTTCTTCAAATATATTTCTAAAGAAGGCAAAGTAAAATCCTAAATGAACTTGCAAATTTGTATTTCTAAATATTTTCCATTCTAAGATACGCCTTTTTACATTCAAATCTCTAAAGTCAAGCTGCACCTTGTTACTGGGGGTATGCAATTAATAGGCATTTTTTTCTTCTTCTTAGTGGTACATAACGTATCAGTACATCTTATAATTCTTAGATTTGGTAAAGTATGGTTCAATAAATGTTGCATTATCACCTTAAAAGAATCCTATCTTAAAATTTTGTACACTTAGTATCACTTAGCAGAGAGCTTGAAATCACAAACTTCTTATATATAACTGATTTCTGACATCTTATCTTTTGATAATTCTACCACTTCTGTGTGTGTGTGTGTTTGTGTATGTTTTGCTGGGAATGAAACCCATGCTAGGCATACTAGGCAAGAAGTCGTCCATTTTGATTAATGGTTTAAGACTAACAACCTACATTCACAAACCCTCCACTATTTTAAAATTTAGTACTGTGCTCAAAAATAAAGACATGAATGTAATACCTCTAGCAAATATATTCTGGATCAACAATCTCTATATCTGAAAAATGAGTAAAAAGATTGACTAAATGTAAAAAATAGACAATAAATACTTAGATTTGTCTCTTTCAGGTGACAAAAAAGAAAACTGGTTCTGCTCGCACACTACTTTTTATACACCAGATATAGGATTTTCCAAAAGTTATTTAGCAATCAAGGAGAGCAAATAATGTAGGATATGGCTATACTCTGTGTTGCGTAAAGATAGGCATTCGTTAGGAGGTAATTTCTGCCAAATAATTACCTTAGGAAAATTAAAATGTAAAAAATATATTTAAGTTTTGAAATTTAAAAATTCAAATGTTAATATTGGCTATATTTATGTAAGCTTATTACAATACTTACTTGATGGTGCTGATTCACTTTCACTATTATGTCTAGAGCTGGTTGACTCTGAGTTCAAACTTAGGGTGCTTGGGATAGATGAGAGCTCATTACAGAGTTGTTCTACATCATCTGGAACTACTGGCCACGGATGTTTGCGACTATGCCTCACAGTATCCCAGTTGTGACATTTTAGAATATCACAGCCTTGTTTGGTTTTGGCTATGAGCCCCAATACATATACACAGGTCCTACACATAAAAAATGTAATGATCATTTATAATTCCAAGTTGAGATTTGACTTTGACTTAAAAGCCAGTAAAAATCTGTTTATGAAAAACATTATTAAAACTATTTAGGAATAAATTAGCAGCAATAAAAATTATGCAAATTTACTTAACAATTACAACAAAATAAAAGAATACAATGCAATTATTAGCAAAAAAGTCTTATCTATGCTTTTCTAATATTAATCTGAATATTTGGGCTATTAAATTATTAGGCTATTTGAACACACAATTTCCCTACTTGTAAGGTAAACTTCAATATTATAATAAAAATGAAATGCTAATATTAAACAAAGAATTATTTAACTTACTATATTTAAATATATCATGACAACGAACAATTATAAATTATAAAATACTTTTGCTTTACAACTACTTGTGAATAAAAATGTATGGATTAAGATGTCTAGATTAAATGACATACCCTCTGACGGAAAGAACTTCACACTGTTTTGCAAGTTTTAGGATATCCGGAATCACATTTTCTTCCTGCAGCAAGTTAAGACCCCAATTTGAGGAGCCAATATTTCCCTGAAAGAAAATACATATTAAATGAACTTAAATGAGTAAGTCATAAAATGATTTGATAAGTTACCGTGAAAAAATTTAAACCCATCTATGCGAAGAAAAAATTGAAAAAAAATCCTCAAATAAAGAATGCTATGGGGCCGAGGATTTAGCTCAGTGGTTTCACCACCTGCCTCACAAGCACAAGGGCCTGAGTCCGTTCCCCAGTATAAAAAAAAAAAAAAAGAATGCTACCAATAAATTAATATTTTATTTGTCTTAGCAAAAACATAAGAGCTATGAAAATTAAAAGTTTAACCATCGATTTCTACAACATAAAAGTATTTAAATTGACAGGAACAATTCTGGTCCTGAAATAATCTAAGAATGAGTTAGAAATAAAATAATTTTAATGAATTTATTATTACAGGAAAGATGAAAAAAATCTAAAACTTGCAAAGATCTCACATAAATGTTTATTACAAACCAAGGCCCAAAGAGATGCTTTCAGTTTTTTAATTTCTTCCCATCTATCCAAATCTGGTGTACGAACGTTGTGACAAAGTTCTGTTATAATATTCTGGAGAAATTAAAAATAAATCATATAAGTAACATTATACTGAGTTTGTAATGTATTTTTATCCCATCATAAACATATTCTAAGATTTACTTTTATTCATTTTTGCCCATTTAAAATAATGAAGTAATTTTATGCAAAATTTCTTAGAGGGCAGCATTAAGGCACAGGATCTGAGTTCATCTTCTAGTTTTTAACATTAGCTGTGGGGTCTTGAAAGTTATTTGAAATTCCATGCCAAGGGGGCTAAGAATTTGGATCAGTGGTTTCACAGCCTGCCTCGCAAGTGCAGGGGCTCAAGTTCGATCCCCAGTACCAAAAAAAAAAAAAAAATTGGAAGAAAATTCCATGCCTTTATTTCCCAATTTCTAAAATAGGGATAGTATTATCTGACAAAGTTTCATGCTAGCATCATAAAAAGTCATAATTGTGATTTTATCATTTTGTGTATATGTGGTACTGCGGATTGAGTCTGAGGCCTCACACATGCTAGGTAAGTGCTCTACCACTGAGTTAGAGCCCCATCCTTTTTTAGACTTTTTTTTTTCCATTAAGTTTATTGGTACAACATTTTAGGTATACAATACAATTATACTCATCATTGGGATCTTGTATTTTTACATGATGTATCTTGGTTCTTATTTTTTTCCCCATTCCCCTGCCTTCCCTTCACCCCCCCCTCCACACTTCCCTATCAGATTTCTATTTTGAGATAGGGTTTCAGTAAACTAAGTTGCTCAAGCTGTTCCCAAATTTGTGATCCTCCTTTTTCAGTCTCCTAAGTAATTGGTATTACATACATGTGCCATTATACCTGGTTTGGATTTTATCATACTATGTAGGTAAAGACAACAAGGAGCTCATTTAAATTTTTAGTGAATTTATTATCAAATGTTAACATGAAGCTATCTTGCCAACAGTTTCCATAAACATAAAAACACTTTGGGCTACTGAGATAAATACTGAATCAAAAGGAGTCCAAACTGATAGATTACTATTATTCATACAAACAAGTATTTCTACAAATATTTTTCTGAAAATAGCTAGTTGCACTCATAGCCATAAATGTAGTGTACATACATATTCAAAGAACAATTATTTATCTATAACTGGTATATTCCACATAGTACTATAAAATGATAGCGAATTACTCACAAGGTTTTTAGTACTTGTTGCCCACTGAGGATAACTGAACCTAATACAGGTTCAATTTAATTTTTCAACGAGAGTAAGAAAGAATTAGTTTTTCTTTTAAGGAGATTTTTATTTTCCCAACAAACTATAGGGGAAAGAACTTGAGACCAATATTGGTTAGCTCACCCTGTTTAAAAGTTAGCTATTCAAAAGGTGACATGGGGAAATACACACAAGCCAATGACATTTCTCAGAATTATAAATATAGAATGCCCAAGTCAATTACAAGATAGATGACTTCAAAAACAATTATGTCACTGCTTTTGTAATTTTTGAGAAGTATTTGCAATGACAACACTTTTACAACATTAAAATTTTTTAGATATCATAGTGATTTAAAATTAGCAAACTATTTTTACCTGTACTTCTAGTAAATGGCAGCCGGTTTTGTGGTGTACCAGTTGTCCATAAAGGTGTACAGGTAAGTAGACATGAGGACGCTGTAGTCTAGTACAACAAAGACAACTCAGATAGTTACTATGACTCATTTAAACATGTTAATTAAAAATGACTATTAATAATGTACTAAATAAATAAAATTAGATATAATTTCCCCGTCTAAATAAAAATACAGAGGTAGGAAGATGGAGATTCCTTTGGAGAAATAATAGTATGTCAGGTATTATAGTACTGTTAAGAGAACAGGAGCCAAAAAGCAGACTTAAGTGAGAGTAGTGCAGACATGAATGCTACCTCAATGAATATATTTAATATGTTATGAATTCCAATGGAATTTTTCAGCAATTAATGTACAAAGATTTTTTTCCTGACCTGTGTATGAAAGAGTATGTGAGAACTCAGAAAATTTTAAAAGTAATGACATATTACAAGCTGATTTTAAATTTGATATCTGAGGTTTGTAATAAATTGCCACAATGACTGCACCATACCTTTGGTTACTCCGGCGAACATAGTTATCACCATCAACAGGTTTCCGATAAGTAGTAAGTGCTTCATTAAGTTGTTCCTCAATCAAGTCAACATATTTTGAATTATATTCCTAAAAGGTAGTATTGTTTTAACTGTATGCAATATCATAATGACTGACATTCACTAAATTTATGCCACGTACTTAGCAAAGGTTAGAAGTCTAAATATGAGAAAAATTAAAACAATGTGGTTAGGAATGAAGAACTTTTTGGAAAGGTAAGAGTAAGTGTATTACAAATGAAAATACTCTATCATATCCCAAAGTTTTCTGCTTGTATTTTTCCCCTCTTCAACTAATATTATGAGGTCCAAATAAGGGAGTAAATTTTTTCATCTTATTTGTATCCTCTTTATCATTCAAATTTTCTTATTAAACTCTGAAGATATGCTCTAGAAATTTTAAAATGGAAATTAACTGAATCCTATCATTTTAGCAATTTTCAGTAGGACATCATTTCCCACTGATTTAAATAAGGTCAAATGTAAAACCAAAATCTAACATCTGAAAAGTTCTAATTAAATGCTTTAAAATGAGTCAAAAACACTGCCATCATAATTACGAAAGTTCTTCATTTGAAATTGCAAGAAAAAATTTCAGGAAACACTTTGGGAAGCAATTTGGAAGTGCTTACTAGTAATCAAATTCCAATATACTTTTCCTTTAACAATTATACTTTTGGAAATTCATCCAATGACTATACTTCATAAACATGCAATATATATGGAAGAATAATCAATGAAAATTGTTAAAAAAACTAAAAAGTTGGGTACAATCCAGAAGTCCACCAATATAGGACTGGTGACATTATGCAGATATTACAAAGAATGAGGTAAATATAATGTATTGCACTCAAAATCTTTATTAGATATATTGCTTGATGGAAAAATTTAAATTGAGTTCTATCTATATTTGTAAACTGAGATAATCCAATTACATTTTAAAATTAAAAAAATGTATTCTTATAGATGTACATATCTAGTTGAATTTAAAAAAAGGTTTAATAAACATTACCTTCAGAAAAGACAGAATAAGGGAGTAGAGAGATACCTCAGTCTCCTTTCTTTTTTTTTTTTTTTTATTACTGGGGAATGAACCCAGTGACTGGTGCATTGAGCAGTACCTCCAGTCCTTTTCATTTTTTGAGACAGTTTCACTAAATTGTTAAATTGTTCAGGTTCTGATCCAAATTACAATCCTCCTGCCTCAGCCTCCCCAAGTGCTAGAATTATAAGCATGCATCACAACTCCTGGCTGACAGACTTTTTTCATTTTAAACCATTTAGACTGCTCCAATTTGGTTGAGTTGCCTTAACACTCAAAGAGTCTTTAAAAGGTTTTTTCTATTTTTTAAGTTTTATATTTGTATAATGAGGTTTTAATAAAATATTATAATACTTTACATGTGAAAAATCTCAATACAAAAATCTAATTAAGGCATATAAAATCACATGTAATTTTTAGGATTAGTTATATTCACAAGTTGTGCCAGGTTAATCTTTCAGCCAGTAGCATTTAGAAGGAAAAAAAATTGAGGGTATGGCTTATGGCTATTAAATGCATTGAGTTTCTGGCAAGGATCATATTGAAATTCTTCCCAAAATGATTCATCAGAGGGGCAAGGAAACCCCCCATATCCCTGCAACTGAGGGTCAACCTCTAGCTATCAGCAGAATTTTAAGTAGGCAGTCAGAGGAGCCACTGCCCTCATGAAGGCAATTATAAATGACACATAACTAGATGTGAGGTCTGATTCTATGAAAGTAGCCTTCAAGTCAAAAACTCAACATAAGAAACTTGATACACTCAGACCTAAAAACCCAATATAACATTTGTAGCAACTGAGCAAGACTATTCCTGATCCTTAACTCCCTCTTCCTACTCCAAACCTAGCCTCAAACTTGCAGCTAAGTACATGAAGAAGGAATATGAGCACCAAAGTGATGAAACCTAACCTCCTCCATTGTAGTTTATAAGTCTATAACAGGCCTCTGTTTAGTGACAGAGGTGTTAAACAGAATGAGTGGGATTTTAATATTATGCTGGCCTTGATGTTTTATTACATTGAAAAACAAACAAATTGTTTGCTAACTTATCAGAAGAGCTAAGAGATATGCTCAACATTTCATCCAGGAGCAGGAAGAAATAACAGAGAACAAGTGAGAGATACAGCAGTGAAACAGAAGAGTACTTCTTTATGCTTTCAATGTCTTCCAAATACACTCAGAGTCAGTGAAAATATCAAAGAATTTTAAAAGTAAATATAAAATAAAATGTTCTCCAAAACAATACAACTACTAAAGTCATAATGAGCAAGAGTTAATGATGTAAACATGAGAGGTAATGCCCAATCACATCATCATTGTGATGGTGTCAACAATGATTATTTACAAGGCTTTGAGTCATGAAGTATTTGGTAATGTATTTATCGTAAATCTCTCACCTCGAAAATCACTACTTATATCTGGAATAGGTAAAGTTTTTCTATAAAAGGCCAGAGAGTATCATGTCATATGCCTGTTACTTCTATTTAAATTTGCTATTTTAAAAAGAAAATAGCCATAGAAATAAATGAAGAAGTGATTGTTTCAACAAAACTTTATAAACAATGAAATATAAATTTTATCATGTTACAAAATATTTTTCTTTTTATTTTTTCCCCTAAATCATTTTAAAATTCAAAAACTATGCTTAGCAAATCACACAAAAAAAGGTGGTATACTCTATTTGCCCTGGGGTTCAGTTTGTCCCACTCTAATTTAATACTATTCTTTGATATAAACTGTCTCAACAAAATAGGAGTAAAATGAAAAGTATGTGTATTTAACCAAAAAATTTGGAACTGATCAATCTGATAGAAAGTACTTTGAAGTGGTGTTCCTCTGAAGTACAGAAAGAGGAGGCAATCAGTCTTAGACACTCTATTACTGCAATTACACCAGCATCTACAGGAACCTTAAGGATGTCTGAGTGTACCAGTATCATTTCTGCCCACTCTAATAGCCTCAAGAAGTTCAGATATCTAAAGTCAGCTCTATGAAAGATGAGCTAAAAAATGGAAAGGTGTTAAAAGACTTCCTCTCTTGTCTTCAAACTGACTTGCATAGGCCTCTGTGGGATCTTCTACCTTTTTGAGGGAAAGAGTTGTCTTTATTTCTTACAGACTTGTCTCTTCATCTGTGCTCCAGCTCCATCCTCTCCCTTGCCAGAGATCCATTTCATCAGCTATCTCCCTCTCCTACTGTTAGTCTCTCTGGCCTCTAGGTCTTGATCAAAATATATTCTCACCTCCTTCCTCCTTAAAACAGAAATATGATTTAAACAGTCTGCCTACTTCTTGGCATAGCTTCTGGAAGCTATTGAAGGAAATTTAAAACAGAGAAAGAAGATGGGCTTTGGATTCAGAAAGAATTTGGTTAGTGCCTCTCTTTTGCTATTTTCAAACTCTGCAACCTAGGATCCATTATGTTATTCTTGGCCTCAACATGTTCATTTACAAACAAAAAATAATATATTTTACAGGAGTGTTGTGAGGATTAAATGGAATACTTGAAAAGCACTTTAGTCCAACAGTAAGCAATCACTAAATTGCTTTCCCTTTCTCTAAACAGAGTTGACTATAGTGTTTATTTTTACACCTAATTATCTGTAACTACAATTCACATCTTTGCAACTTTTTGCCAAAACCAGTCTAGTAAAATTCATAAATGACTTAAAAATCCAGTTTAACCACCTCTTTCCTAGTGTTCATCTTCTGTGATTGCACTGACCTCTTCTTCCTGAATCATCCTTTAATGACACTAGTGTGATAATTTTTTTCTCACTGTCCTTGTCCTTCTTTCCCTTATTAAGTCAGGGTGTTTCCTAAGAAAAAAATTTTTGTCATCTCTTTCTTTAGTGACTTTGTTTACTTCAGGTCTCAACTACTTCCACATGATTGCCATCAACACATATCTGAACTCCAGAGCTACATTTTCCATATTCCTTGTATACCATTACTTGGCCATCTCAGAGCCAACATAGTTCAACAACCAAAGTTCATTAACCTCATACTGTAAATCAGTTTTGTAATCATCTCTTAAGGATGACCCATTATATATTTATTCATTAAATCAGAAACCTTGTAAGTCAGGTTGGAACCTTCATTAGCTGTACAGAATTAGTTCACAATTTATTTTCTTTTTTTTTGGAACTGTACTGGGGATTGAACCCACAGCCTTTACACTGAACTATATGACCTGCCCATTTTTATTTTTATTTTTATTTTTTACTGTGAGACAGGGTCTCGCTGAGATGCCTAGGCTGAGTTCAAACTTGTGATCTTGCTGATGCAACCTTCCAAAACGCTGAGATTACAGGTGTAAACTATTAACTGTGGCTTCAGTTTACAAATTTTAATCATGTCCACTTTCTTAAAAAATGCCTAGGAAGTAGTTCCTGGTCAATCCATCCCCAATGTCACTGAAGTTCAGGCCTTCATCAACTCTGGCTTATAAACCAGTGTCAATATTCCTATATTTTTCCTTTGATGATCACACTTCTACTCCTATACTGCAGCCTGTGGCATTTCTAAAGCACACTGTGCTGTGATATATTTAAAATTCCAAATCACTGCATATGATAGACTAATTAATGTTGCAAAACTGAATCCCTTAATATGATATATTATGACTTACAAATACTTCCATTGCCTAGCTCTAATTAGAACCATTTTGCCATTCCCCCTCGTAGTCCTGCCCCCCCCAGAATGTGGCTTTCTCTTAAAAAACTATAAAATTTCAATGACCCATACAGATTTCTTCTATTCTTCCCCACTGGAATACTATTTTCATAATTAACTTGCCTACTTACTCCTTGAGATTATTTCAAATATAATCCCTCACTGAGCCTGTCCAGTATTTCTTTTGGTAATCCCTAATGCAGAATAATGAATCTCTCCTTTATATTCCTTAAGCACTTGTATATTCTTTTGTTATGGTACTTATATTTTATATCTACAATTTGAAATCAGTGCCAAAAAATATGCTAAATAATTTCCAGTAAGGCAATCAATTTTATTTTGGTAACTGATTTAATTATCTTCTGCTTCACGAAATAAAACTATTATATATTAGTTACCCAATTCATCAGTTATTGAAAGGACTCATGCCTGAAATTGCATGTTTTCAAGTTTCAGTACATGTAATAAGAATCTCTAATGAATATAGTTTAAAATAGACAATATAAATAATTTATAACTGAACAAATCACAAGATTAAAAATGATCTTAAATGATGGATATCTAAAAATAATTTATAGTGATATAAATAATTCTGACCAAGTGTTTCCAAGATGCCCTGACAATTTAAAAATGCTACAAACAAAATAATGAACTACAAGTATAACTAGGGAAAGGGAAGCTAAGAAGTTGTCTATAATCTTCAAACTACTCTTTGCTTAGGTTTTCCTACTATCTATGACAGCAACTTTGTTCAGAGATTTATATAAAGTACCATCCTAAAAAAAAGCATAATTAGATGATTATATCTACTTAAGCACAACTGTTTTCAACCATCCTTAATTTAAAACAATTATTCAGTTTTAGCATAAAAAGGTCATGCAAAGTTGGAGTCTATGTAACATATAAGGGATCCAAGATTAAAAGAAATTATGGTAACTATATTTCTTTCTTTTTTTTTTTGGGTACCGGGGATTGAACTCGGGTCCTTGTGCTTGCAAGGCAGGCCACCGAACTGCTGAGCTAAATCCCCGGCCGGTAACTATATTTCATTAGTAGAATACAAAATAAGTTTACTTAAAAGCAAAATTTCCGTAAACAAAGTCAACAGTTCACCATAAGAGAAATAGCTACAGTTTTAAATAATGGATATAAATACTAGCAGAAAATTATATAGAATTTCAAACCTGACAATATGAATATTTAAATATTTAATCTCATTAGTTTTAAAACACCAAAGAGGAGAGAAAACTTTGAATTTTCAATTCTATTTCCCAAGATAAAAACATAAATTAAACTTTATTCAAAAGGAAGTTACCTTGTGCCACTTTTCCAGTTGTTTTGCCACATAACCTCTTTCATTCAGGTAGGAAAACCCTTTTGGAATGGAGAGAAATCTGTAAATTAAAACATCACAATTTAACATGAAGTCCAACAAAAATTGTTTAAACAGCTAAAATAAAGACAAGCTTATATAGCTAAAAGACATTAGGAATAGTTCCCCTTTAAAATGAAAAGATCATCTATGATTCATCAAATTACAAAAGTAAATAAATTTTGACAATCTTTTTAAAAAAACTCATAAATGACAATAAAGAAAATGGAGTATGAAACAAAGAAATATAAACAAACAAAAACCCACATGTAAAAGAGTGAACAATTTCTGTATTAAAAAGATGTCCAAGATTCTAAAATAGTCCTCAAGGTGCATTCAATTTCCTACAAATGACTCAAATTTATCCTTCTTTGTGGCAGAATAGTATTCCATTATATAAAAATGTCACTTTTTCCTTATCCATTCATCTGCTGGTAGACATAGTCTTCTTCCAAGATTTAGCTACTATGAGTTGTGCAGCTATAAATATGCATATATGCCTGTATCACTGTAATATGATGTCTTTATTTCCTCATGGAAGACACCTAGAAGGGGAATAACTGTGTCAAGTGGAATTTCTATGTTTACTTTTTAAAGGAATCACCATACTGATTTCCACAGCAGCTGCACTAGTTTACATTCTCACCAACAGTGTAGAAAAGCTCCTTTTTCCCCACAACCTTGACAGAACTTTTTTCATTTCTTGATGACAGCCATTCTTTCTTGAGTAAAGAGGAATCTGTGTTTTTTTGTTCGTTTTTTTTTTTTAAGACAAGGTCTCACTATGTAGTTGAGACTGACCTGGAACTAACTATGTTGCCCAGGCTGGCCTCAAACTCACAGCAATCCACCTGCCTCAGCCTCCCAAATGCTGGTATTACAGGGGTTCACCACCACGCCCGGCGCCTCAGTGTTTTAATCTACATTTATTTCTCTAATGGCTAGAAATGCTGAACACTTTTTCACCTACTTATTGGTCATTCGTACTTCTGAAACTTGCTCATTCATTTCTGCTGTCCATATTTTACCTGAGTCTTTATCTTAGGGGGTCTAATATTAGATGAATTGTTTTATATGAGAAGTTAAAAATATAAATAAAGAGCAAAATAAAAGACAGATAATAGAAAATATGGAGATGGCTATTTTGCAGAAGGGAAGAGAACCAAGAGATGGAGAGAGGGGAGAGGGAAGAGAGGGAAAGAGGATGAAAATAAGAATAAAGATGTGTTACACACATGTAGCAACTCTCCATGAGGAATGTTATCAACTCGTGCAAATAGTTCTACTTCAGAAGTTCAAAGGTACCTATTCAGATTTGAACACAGCTTTAATATAGACAACAGAACATAACAGAAAATATACCCAGAAAAAAGTTTGCTTAGAATTTACCTCAGGAGGAGAAGCAAACCCTTGTCTCCAAGATGCGATAAAGCTGGCTTCATCTGAATAAGAGCATGAAGATTGGCCTAAAAGAAATCAGAAGACTAATTAAGAACTGCACAACAATAACACATTCCTTTTTCAAAATTGTGTGTACTATATACATTACAGTTTCATTTAATTATCAATTAGCAGTGAGCATTTCAATAAAAATTTATCACTCAGTATTTCATTAAAAAAAGGAAGTATACCTTATCTTCACAAGCTTCATCAAGAATATCCAGAGCTTCCGAAGAAATTGTTTTGTTTTTATCATGTAGCTGAGTCACTAGTAACTCAATTCCCCAATTATTGAAGAATTCAACATTTGCTCTCAACAATACCCTTAAATGTTTTGTCGCATACAGCCTGCAGGCCTTTAAAAATAAATGAATATTTTAAAAAATCAAAAACCAAAAAATAGTAACAACAAAAGAACTTCACCATGGATAGCCTATTTTCATTTGTTTTGGGAAACTTGGGCTACTTGAAAAGGACAGAAGAACTTTTAGATGGCTTAGTCTTTGATATAAATATTTATTTAGTACTAGTAAAATATAATACTTTTCTTTGCATCCAATAGCTTCGTTGTCTTGATATAAATATATATATACCATATGGAAAAAGTAAAAATTTTAAAGTCCAATTTCCATCCTATATTCCCAAAATTTATAATTTTACTTAGCCTAAAATTTTACAAAGTATTAAATTAACTGGCACTAAAAATAAAGTTTTATTGCTTATGTGATACTCACATCAGTAGCTGCTGTTAGGATTTTTGAAAGAATGACTCTAGCTAGTCCATCTCTGCTATAGTCCAAGCTAGAAACAGTCAGTTTTAGCAAGTGATCTTGGTTTTTCAATGAGCAAAGATTAAGGAGACTTAAAAATTTTTAAAAAAAGAAAGATAAAGGTTATTAGAAATTACTGCACTATCATTAGTCTAACAAATCATTTTTTTCCAGCTTTACTTAGATATAATTCACAAATCTTATATAATTAAGGTTGGCAACATGATGAATTGATTAAAGTATATCCTGAGAAATGATTACAATAATGAAATTAATTTACACATCTATCACCACCCACAGTTAGCATTTTGTATGTGTGCAGATGGCAGAGTGGGTATATGAAAACATTTTAATAAATATTTTTAAATTTCCAATATAAACAAACATTTTTGTGAGAAAGTATCTAATTGACAAAAACATAAAAAAGAATGTCAAACATGAAGACAACTTTAACTATTTCAAAAATAAAATTTAGCAGTAGATATGCACAAACTAAATAGCATAGCAACCATACTGAAAATAAAGTTTAGGTATATATTTTAACAGAATCTAGAGATGCTCACCACTGAAAGACACTGCATTTTTCCAGCATTTTGACTCCATGAGGGTGGCAAGAAAGTGTTCCAATAAATAAAAAGTAGTGTTGACTAAGAGTAGTCAATAAACCATTATTTTGAAGACTTCTTTCAGGTTTCATTCCAGAGGAGGCATTGAGCCACTGAACAATATCCTTTACTAGATCTTCTAAGTATCCTTGCCCATCCTGTTATTTAGAAAAACCAACTTTAATCAGGTACAAAAAATGTAACATTTACTGATAACAAGTATTAGTCACTGAGTACCTGCTGTTTTTAATCTTACTCAATATAATGCTACCTAGAGATGGTCTTATTCTCCATTTCTCAGAAGGGTAAACTAAGTCTTCTAGAGGGCAGGTAACTTGCCCAAAATATCCTAACTACTTCACATCTAGGTTTGGGTTCATTTCCTATATTTTACACCCTATGCATACTCAGAAATAAAAACAGATGGTGGTAACAGAGGGAGAAGAAAGGCAAATTTAATATAAAAAAACTTGCTTTGAAAATATTTAGAGTGCTTACCTCTTCAGACTCAAGAAGAAATTCTGTAAATTGGCAACCAACAACTGTGAGCTGCTTAGACTTGGCAAAATCCAGATCCAGATTGGTATATAATTTACTGCTGGGCTTATAAAAATAAAGAAGTCTTCGGACAAACCTAATATCAAAATAAATTAACAATATAAGAAAATTATTTGAGAATCTTGTCCACAGGTTATGACATAATAAGGCTCTGAATATCTTCTGGATCTGAAACATTTGGAGGATGTGGTAAGAAATTTAGTAACATATTTGGTACATCTCACATACACAAAATGTAAAAAAGAAAAAAAAACCTAATTGTAAAGAATATATGGAATAAGAATTTTAAAGTTAGGTGCTTAAAAAAAATTGGGCAGAAAGAAGGCAGTAGAAAAAATGAAGACATACACTCTACAACTAGAATGTAAAGTTGAATAAATAGAATGTAAATTTAGGCAGTTGAATTTCATGGACATAATTTATTATGTCTTTTAAGCTTCCACTGAATTTAGTTCAATTTAATTTCATAATACTGTAGTACAAATTAGCATTATAATCTAATCCAAATAGAGGCAGTTAGGTTCAGGTGTTAGCATAATAAATTTGAAAAGATATCTCTGTTCCTGGGGAGTATGAAAAGTCAGTACTATGCTATTATTTTAGCGTAATTTACAAGGTTTGTATATTTAAAACTTGCTATTAAGTTACGTATCATTAAGAGATGAATATAATTAAAATACTTTTAATCACATGAACATCTTAAACATAAAGAAAAGCTCTCTTATCTAATAAATTCAGCACTGCTAGCTAGTTGGCTGAACCCAAGGAGTAAAAGCATATGAGTGTAGTAGAGTAGCTTGAAATGGTCTGTATGTTCCTGAACATGAGTATGTTTTGTAGACAATGTGATTAAGGAGACTGTTAAGAAGAATGGTGAACTTTCCAAAGTTACACACAAGTGAAAGTCCAAGTTATATATTAAAAATACAGTGTCTTACTATGTCATTCTCTTATGTTAAGGTTAGTCCATTACAGTTTATATTATCTCAATTTAAGAAACTTTTATCTCTGTCTCCATCTGATCCAAAACTAAAAGCAGAATTAACTAGAAAAAGAATTATCTGATGAGTTCTGACAGAGAAAAATGTATGTATATACCTAAAGACATATTAAAATGTTTGTACCCATTGAATGCTATTAAACTGAATGTGCTTTTCATCAATTATTATTTTTAATAGGCATCAGACATAATAATCCAAATTTAAATTCTTTAAATGCATGATATCTTTTACATACCTGTGCAACTGTTCATCTTTATAGTTTCTTAGATTTACATTTGGCCACTGTAATAACAAAACATATTACATCAAATATATTTATCAACTCCCAAGCATATAACTATAATAAATTATAAATAATAATAAAATGAAAACAAGCTGTCACCATGAAGTATCTTGTCATACCTTAAGAATGGTCCCTATAAGATTCCAATTCCACTCAAGGTTTTCTTTATGTTGAAGGACTTGGCTATCCCTAAGGTTCATTAAAAGTGCTTCCTCTGTATCCTAAAAAAAATAATAAACAAAAAAAACACCAGAGAGTAATACAGACAATTAAGGCAAACTGTCCTCACATCTGAAAACTAAGCTCAAATTTTAAAAACAGAAGTTTTCTTCATTCACAGATAGATCACTGAAATTTTACCAAGTTACAAAATCTTTGCTCTAACTTGTCTAGTCATTATAAATTTAGAAAGCCAAGAAAAAATTCATATGCAAGAATAAAGCTACAGCTGGGCGTGGTGGCGCACTCCTGTAATCCCAGCACTTGGGAGGCTGAGGCAGGAGGATCACTGTGAGTTCGAGACCAGCATGGGCTACATAGTGAGTTCCAGGTCAGTCTCACCTACATAATGAGACCCTGTCTCAAAAAAAAAAAAAAAAAATTTAATTTAATTTAAAAAAGAATAAAGCTACAAAAATCAAACATATACATGCATATAAAACCTAGTGGTTGAGAATTAGAAAACTGTATATAAATTTAAAATCATGATTTCATGTTAGTACCTTAAGAACAAATATATCTTTCTGAACTCGAAGGTACTGATCCCGTTTCTGGTGCGTGGCAATTGCTTTCTGAATAATGTGATCTAAATGAAGGCTGTAAGGCTTAGGTCCTCGTTTCTTCATTTCATGGAAGCGTTTTAAACAGTTCAGTGCTGCACTGGCTCGACTAGTAAGAAAAAATAATTTTGAAGTGAACGTTTTGCTAAGTTATTGAAAATTTAAATTTAAGGACAGATATTTTTATTAAATCAAAGTATTGATTTCCTTGAAAAAACATTGATTATTCAGACTAAAACATTGATTATAGTCATATTTTCTTTTTGTATACTTTTGTATACTGGCTTTAAGAATTCATTTCACAAGGTCAAAGTTTAGTTTTTTATCCTATTAAATATTTAAAACTTTGCTTTTCATATGTAAATCCTAGTCCATTGGAACTAATTTTCTTTATGGTATGAAGCTGCAATATTGTTTCACTGTTCACCCATATAATCATATGATCAATTGAACAGTTTATTTTCTGCATAATCTGTAACTATAATGGTATCTTAAAGAGTTTGGCAGCAATCAATCCTGGTAAAAAGAATTTAAAACCTTGAGATCCATTGAGATTGGCAAGTATTTAATAAATCAGCAAAGAAGCTTACTGAGCTAAAGAAAAACCAGTTTAAGGGGACTGTCACAACTGTTATTTTGAATGTAAATAAATTATTAATAAACTCAAAAATTGGTGCCCATAATTTGACCCAGAGGTTTTGTCTACCAGAATTTGAGAAGGACATTTCTCTATCATAAAACTTCTAGTACAAACACTGAAGGCTACTATTGATGTTAGCTCAGAGTCATAATAGAGATGGTCTCTAATACACTCGGGTTATGATACAACTAGTCTATTAAATAATAGTATTTTCATCGACAGAAGCAAAATAATAGACCATTATTTATAGTAAAGCTCATGTGTTTTCACTACAGCTAACTGAACTTTTGAAGAACACATAATTGCTAACAAAAATCCATAGTTCTGATAAGATAATAAACCACATTTTATTAATATTATCAAAGAAAAAAGTGCTCAATAAAAACACCCCCAAAATCAAAAAAGCCAATTACAATGGTACACACCAGTTTCCCAGCTCTCTGTGAGACTGAGGCAGGAGGATGGCAAGTTCAAGCCCAGCCTGGGCAACTTTGTGACTTAGGAGGCCCTGCCTCAAAATACAAAGAGCTGGGGATATAGTTCAGTGTGAAGACCCATGCTTCAATCCCCAGTCTACACACACACACACACACACACACACACACACACACACACACAGAGAAATTCCTACTAGCACTTCCCATTTAGTTACCTTCTCTTTTATATAATTTATTACTAGTACTGAAACTCTAGTAGTGCTATTATATTGCCATATTTTTGCTTATAAATTCCACTTGCTTATAAATGTCTGGTATATCTCCTTCTTAAGAATTCAGTTTATGGCTATGCCTACAGTAAGGGTTATTAAATACCAATTTTTTTAACCACACAAGCAAAAACATACACTGGTAGTCTTCTGCTTTTGAAAATTTGAAATTAATTCATGGATATTTTTAAAAGGGTTTAAACTGCTGCTCAGAATATAAAATAATCCCCAAAACCCTCGACCAGCATTGTTAGAAACATGATAAAAACTCTACAACCTTGACCAAACACACACAAAAGAAAAAGTGATTTTACTCCACTATTAAATATAAATCATTAAATATTTTGAGAACTACTAATTTTTCCTCTAACCTATAAAACTAAAGATTTTACAAGCAAAACCTATCTATACTACATTCTTTTAAAAAAGAAGAGAAGAGAAAGTAATCTAAATGGGCATCAAATATACTAAGCATAACCTTTCCTGGATCTTTCTGATACTTACAGTCTCTTTTCCTTCGGGATATCAAAGGATGCAGCCATATTCATTAGGGTTGGCAAACAGTGCAAATGATGGCTATGAGAATGAGGAAGAATTGTGTTTGCCTAAAATAAAATGTTAATATTTTATGAGATTTTGAAAATAGAAATAGTTTATTATAGATTATCTGCAAACGTAATATTGTAATAAGACCACTGGAAACTGAGGATTTTCCTGAAATTCACTTATTTTTCACAAGGTGTACATACTTATAATTTTATCTACTTTCAATATGCATGAGACGTAACAATTATAGGCATATAAATACAAATTATAAACCACTAATTTTTGCAGATCTTTTATTATAGCATTAAAATTATGATTTTAAAGTGTTACTCAACTAAAATTCAATTCTTAAAGTGATGTAAAAAGATTATATAGCAAATTGGGACTGGATCTAATTTATGTTAAAAATAACATTTAAAATGCTAGCTAGATACAGTATCAAAACTTAGAATTGACAATTTTCAAAAACCTCTTCCTTAGAATAAGTTTGTCTCATATCAACAATCTTTAATAAAAAACTTACTAACTTCTGCTTTATAAAGAAAATCTCCACATCAAACTCTTTCTACTAATAAGAATAGGCAAATTATTACATGTGGAAGACAGAAGACATAAGACATACTAAGCAATGAATTAACACCACTTCACTTAAAACTGACCAGATTGTATACATCAAAGGAACCACAGAATTCTGGTGTATAGGGACCAGGAAAGAGATTAAATTTATAAAAATGATTCTCTTGTATAAAATCAATTAATTCTGGGGCCGGGGATTTAGCTCAGTGGTTCTGCTGCCTGCCTTGCGAGTGCAAGGACCCAAGTTCGATCACCGGTACCAAAAAAAAAAAAAAATCAATTAATTCTAGATATTGATGACCTTAGAGAAAACATCCTAAAAATTTTAAATACAAATATAATCAGACCTGAGAGTCTGCAATGTTATTTAATTCTCTTGACAGGTTGATTGAAAGAGAACAGAGAAACTGGCTGAATATAATAAAAGACAGTTAACATTAAATTTCACTTATTTACTTCACTCTTATATACAGCCCAGCAACTGACAGGTGAGCACTGGGGAAGGTGGAGGAAGAAAGAGAGGAAGGAACAGAAATAACAAAAACAAAAAACACCCTAAGAATAGCAACTCATAACATACTTTTAAAAGATTTGCCATAGGATCACTTTTTCCTTTATGAGTTTAGTGGTTCTATTTACTCTTATGCTAATCTAACGGTACCTAAAAGTAGAAAATCTCTATAATGCAAACTAGTAGAGCTGCTCCCCTACTTGAATTACTAAATGTAGAGAATGTTCAGATCACTCTTCTTTCTCCTAGTTTCCCAAAATTATTAATTTCATATAATCACAGTGCCAATTCCAATGTCCAAAAAGGATTCTCATTCTCTGTAAGTTTACAAAAAACAATGATGTTCAAACAAGACAGTTATATTTAGAATTTTTGCACAGTTTTCTAAAATTCAGCCAGTGACTACAATGCATTGATTCTGTATTACAGAATTATACCCTTAGCTGACTGATTAGTATCTATAATTTTACAATTTGGATTTCTTGCTTTTTAGGTAGGAAGCCTTTCTGCGAACCAATATTTGTAGGACTAAAATATCCACATTGAAAGTGAGTGTAAAAATCAACATTCAGCATTTTGTAATTACTGTATCTGTTAGAGCAGATCTATCTATCTATCTATCTATCTATCTATCTATATCTATATCAGAATATAGGGAACAAAGGTGTTTTTCAATGCCAAGATAAACCTTCATTTAAAATGTTAATTTATTTTCGAGTTGACATAAAGCAACACTATTAAAATAACTCATTTTATAAGTTAAAACGTTACAAATTATGAAATATATAATTAGAAGTTGCTAAACTTACCATATGTAAAAGCTCTCCTAAAAGGATGGTAGCTCTAACTGAAATATGGTCATCACTGTTTGTTATCACTTCAACCAAACCCTATGACAATAAACATAACACTGTTGCAAAATAATATATATGAACATATTTATGCATCAGATGTTTAAAAATTTTGCTAGACAAAGTAAAAATAAAATAGAATATTGTTTATAAGTCTTACTTCCAAAAGTCCATTACGAATAAATGCAGAAAGTATCAGTGCCAAATAATTATCCATGAGGTCTGGCCTAGAAATAAACACAACATAGAACAATTTAAATAGTGTTTCACACATACTACACACACTAACATAAAAACAGTAAGTATAATAAACTGGAACCATTTTATATTTAAATTCTACCTGGATCTGGCACGATGAGGAAGAATAGTTTTTGCCTCAGCTGCTACAAAGCCATCTGAAAGCCTCCAACTGTCTTGGAACCTTCCTGGATCTAAAATAGTTAAAAGTAGCTACTTAAAAGAAAATTAGAACTAGGCATAATGGCATATGCTTATAATCCCAGATACTTGAAACTAAAGCAGGAGGCTAGCCAGTTCAAGGGGAGCCAAAGAAACTCAGAACTGGTTTCAAAAGAAATTTTTAAAAAGGGGAGAGAGACTGAGATTGTAGCTGTGTTGTGCACTTGTCTAGCACACACAAGACTCCAGGTTCAATTCCCAATCTCATACACACACACACACACAAAAATACTAAAACACTTCAGGTAAGTGTAAAACCATTAGCTAACCAGGATATAAAGAACTTCAAAAACTAGGCCCAGGGATTTAGCTCAGTGGTTCTGCCACCTGCCTCACAAGCACAAGGACCCAAGTTTGATCCCCAGTACCCAGTCCCCCCACCAAAAAAAAAAAAAAAAAAAAAACTAATTTCAGCATTTCCATACAAATTTGATCAGTTATAAAGCTTCAAAGTCTTGGCTGGGAGCATGCAATTGCTGCACCTAAGTCACATGTCTGTCTATGCACTGACTGTCAGAATTAGACAAGTGAAGAGCTGAGCCTTGGGCTCTTTTGTTGGGAGGACTCACTGACAAGATGTTCAAATGGTAAGAAGCTGTAAAAAGAATGTACACATTCACTACCTAACAATCCAGAAGAGAGAGGACATGAGATTCAATACATTGGAAAGGAGAAAGAAGGCATACCCATGCTATATAGGATAAGAAAAAGCTGCTCAAACCAGTATATAAA